CCTTCTCCCCCTCCTCGCCACGAAGAAAAGCTCGAGTGTAAAACGTGCAGAGATGAGAATAATAAGGGCATTCTCCAGCCCCGACACGAGTCCCTGATGCCAGTGCTCTTGCGAAACTATTATACCACTTACAGATGTACTCTGCATCGTCACGTAAATATCATTGAAATCAACATTGAAATCTCCATTGAAATGGGCGCAATAAATTTATGACTCATCCCAATCGAGCCTCAAACTGATTTCTCAGTCAATAAGGCATCGATATCCTTGAGAATATCATCACTCGCACTGTCCATGTCCTCCTCGTCATGCGTATGCCCATCGATCAGCTGATCGAGCTTCAAATCATCCGCTGGATCAACCAAACCTTGAGCGCAATCACCCGCGATGACAGACACCGAAGTTGAAACTTGATTAACATTAGATGCACCATCAGTGCTGCTGTCGCAGAGACGTACTTCAATCTCAGTTCTCGAATTTTCACACTCCTGTGATTCCGTAGTTCCTCTCGTCTCATTATCGCAAGTTTCCTGAGATGTCTGAGTTTCACTTCTGTTGAATCTCTTGGGTGATCTCCTCAGTCTCACCGGTGGTACTGTTGTATTTCGGTTAATTTTACGCCTCTTACTCTCATTGCTAATCGCATCCTCCATTTGAGTGTCCAATGCTCGTTTGCGTGATTCCCCGAGTTTTATCTCCTCAGTCTCCAATTTCTTAAGTTCTGTCAAGCTCTCGATGGCACTTGACAGCGGTACCTCAGGCACTTTTCTCTTGACTGTTGGCATTCCCTGTGAATTTACAGCTGGTACCTTGGAATCGGTGCGATTTTTTCGCCTCTTTATCTCGTCGAGGGTCAATACCTTGAAGCTCAAATTATCATCAGTCGATTTTGATTGGGATTTACCCAGGGAATAGAGGCACACGGTCTTCCTCGCAGCTCTTATGCTCGTTACTCTCTTCTCTTTACCACCACCTGAGCAATTTGGGTAATCACTCGATGTGTAGGAATAGTATGCGGCACTCTCTGCTTGTATCTCCTCCAGTCTGATCTCCTCGTAAGTCTTGCAGTATGGGACTCTCGTTGGTTGATGTGCCTTTTTCGGCGATGATGCAACACCCTCGCTGTCCGATTCTGCAAGAACACACGAAGAAACATGGTGTTGGCGATTATTTCGTTTTAACGTCCCAGGTATTATGATTTTTATTGTTTTTTTTTGTGTCAATCTTCAATCGTTAAAGGCTTTTTCAATGATAGGTTTTGATCGATTCTTTCTTATTCTCTATTTCTCTCATCTAATTTGTCTCGTGGTTTTCGCCAGTGAGCCGTGTCCTCTTCTCAATCTTCGGGATATTCTTACATATTCGAATTTCGGGGGAATAAATTCTTGATAAAGTGCACGAGAACTCGTCGACTCTGAAACATACGCCTTGGGGTCTTGGAGAAACCACAATTTTTCATCATTAATGGGATTTTTCTTGGGAAAGGGTTTACTGGGGCTCCGGTACGCCTGACATTTTATTTTCGAGTGTGTGAGTGGAGTAGAATGGGTACTCGTCATTTTCCCGAAATTTTTATTGCTCCGATATTCTCTAATGACAATTTAATATTTGTCCAGTGTTTTCTCGTTTATTCATTTTTTTATGAGAACATTCTATCCGGTTTATACCAGAGCAAAATGGGAAATAGATTAACTTGGAGACAATTTAGTGAACACAATATTTTTCAAAGAAAAATCCATTGGACAAAAGGCATTCGTCGGAAAATTATCGGGCCTAGTTAGAGACAATATAAAATAAGTGTTTCACTGTTTTATTCTCAACGAGAAAGTAAATTTATTAACTCAGAATCAACAAAGAAAACTCCATTAAACTCTGACCCATGATTTTCACAGGGATAACGAAAAATAATTATCTCGTGATGAAAAAAAAAGAACAGAATGTTGTGATAAATGTGTGTCCGTGTAAATATAGTTTTTTTTCTTTTTAAATTATTGTAATGTCCTCCTGCCCCCGAATAATGATGATGAGTCAGGCGTACCGTGTCCCCGCGCAGTGTGAGATAGTTCGTCTGTTATGGGGAAGAAACTGGAAAAGAAAGAAGCAACAGAAGTTTAGAGAATTCAAGTTTAATCGATGAGAAAGAGAAAAATCAAGAGAAAAAAAGTATATCGAAACAACAGGGATCAATCCCTAACAAAATGACTATTGCTTTCTCACCGTTGAATTAATATTTTCAATACTCGTGGTATGAAGTTTATTAACATGTGAACGTAAATTATCAATTGCTTTAGTCATTCGTTTACATCGATTTCTCAATATGTAATAATAATTACGCATTACGCTGCTGCGTTATCCTTCAAATATAACTTCTGTATTTTTTTGTCATATAAGTCTGTTAAATCTTCTCTCAATCTTTGTGTTTGTTTATACGTAAACTAAATGTACGCATACATAGGCACATATGTGCATATATGCATATACGTCTACACATATACACATCTGATTTTGTATCATTTTTCCATACTTACATGTTCACTTCAATTTTTTTTTCATCGCATTGTTACTTTTTTTTTTTTCATATTTTCCGACGAATATATGCATGAGTGACAAGTATCTCCTTTTGTATATCATGAAACACAACCGTCGCAATGGCAAATACTTCAGTCAAAAATAAAAAAATCGTTCAGCTATTGGAACTGCAGAAATAATTCCGCAGATACTCTCGAGCCGATGCAAATGCCACTACGAGGGTTTCACACACACTTATTCACTTGAATCAATTTATTTTCTCATTAATAAATCTTTTTGTTGCTCGTGAAAGCCATGTGTCGATTTTATCATAATTTTTGTACTTAATAAGCACTAAACAAAAATCAAATAAAAACCTTCGACTGGTGTTTCCATTGAAGAAAAAAAAAATGGGGAAACATGATTTTTTTTATTTCGCGGTTATTTCATCCTACTCTTACAACTGCGAATTCTATTCTTCAAGGATTTAAAAAAAAATAATAATGAAACAATAATAATAAACAAAACAATAATAATGCAAGCCGAGGATCACCGGTGTAGAGGCGAATATACACTGAAAGCTCACGCGGGAATTTTATTATATATTTGCTCGTATATATTTCGTACATCACGAATTTAATGAAAAATAGGGGATCGGGTTTGATTTTATCGAGTGATCTGCCTAACTAATCAGTGAACCCGTTCTCAATCGAACACTCCAATCAACTAAATTAAACCTAGTCTACCGGAAACCGACGATAATATTAATCCCGACGCTGATGTCTCGGAGACCAACGATTTGAAGCGAAAATAAAAAAGAATTTACCATTGCCCGACTATTTACTCTCGTTATAGTATTTTTTTTTCTTTTTTCAAATCGTTTCTTTCGTGTATTGGAAGTATCATGTAAGAAGCCAAAACATATGAAGGCATATCAGCAATTACTGCTGACAATTGTTTACGCACTCTGATAAATCCATCGGGCTAACAATATTCAATGAATAATAACAACAATTAGAGATTAATTTTTTAAATCATAAACTACAACCAGCGCGGACGAATCATCCTCAACTCAAGTCTGGAAATAAATTGCCATTTCACTCCAGCAATCGACTCTACTCGGAATAATTTCCATCATTTGAATTTGAGGTGAATTAATCCCTAGTGCACTCGTATTTTTTTTTTCTTCTACTCATTATCTAGTCCTATGAAACATATTCCCATGGATAACGGATGAGAGAAAAAGAGAATCAAGAAATGGATTGACATCTACCTCTAGGATGAACCGTCAAAAGGAAGAGGAAAGAATCATGAAGCATAGGTGTATCGAGACCCCAGAGATATAATTTCGGTGATTTTTTTTTTCTCCAGGTGAAACTCACCGGGAATTATTTATCCAAAAAAAAAAGTATTCAGTAATCAAGAGGTAAATCGTAACGAATCAACTTGAACAATGATCGAGGATTGTCTCCGAGTCCAACAGAAATACCGAAATTTTTGGAGATAATTTTTTTGTAGCTCTCAACCCACTCTACAAAAGACGATGCAATGAAAAATTCGCAATCTCTTTGAAACTGAGAGATATCTCTCGAAATGTTGGACAGTACATTGATTATCCCTTACCTCTTGACTACGGAGTGATTTTCCCCAGGATGTTCGCACCGGGTAAATATTTTCCAGGAAAAAAAGAGACTCTGGGAGCCCAAGGTGTTGTCACTAGTTCTAGTTAGTGAAAAAATTTGACTAATGTAGATATCGCAGGTGTTTCTCAATATCGCGATAGTTCTCCAGCAATAATATTTCGCATGATTTAACGATTGATTTCAAATAGCATGCATCGATATCGATACCAATGCACAACGAAACGCTCATCGCCAGGCTAAATTTCGTGTATCTTCCCTACCATATAAACCGTTATTTATTCGAATTATTCAACGAGAGGGGAATTGAATTTAGTATCTCCTGTAGGATGTGAAACCGAGTCCAAAGGGGAATGGACATCGTGCCCTTTGGTTCTGAGTACTCGTGTCAGGATGGACAGTCGGATAATTCGCACGTTGAATCTGCGAAGTCGACGGTTGATTATGCAATTGTAACGTTTGACCGTGTGTATGGGAATGAAAGGCCTGGTGGCCATAAGGATGTCTTGCAGCATGATGACACACTGCTGCTGCTGCTATTGCACTCTGCTGTTGATGATGATGATGATGCTGGTGCTGCATACCCTGTACACTTGTCTGCGTTACATTGAGGCCACTAGCGACACTAGTACCAAGATTGACTCTACTTGGTATATCGATATCAATCGGTATTGTCATACGATTACGTATACCGAGGGTTGTACTACGGAGATTCAAATTTGTTTGTAGGCTAGACGGTAGGGATAGAGTGCCTGGCGTGAGGTAGTGTACGTTGAAAGATGGACGACGGGGGGGCTAGTAAAGCCTCATACCTTCGTCAAAGTTGACGATAAGAGGATCAACTGCTGGACTACCGATGAAACTTCCTGCCTCGCTGCTACCACGTCCTTGATCTGACTCTGTACCACTTCCATCGAATTTACCGTCATCTGTTCGTAGAAAATCCACAGTAAACAATTAAAGACACACATTCAGATTTCTCTTTTGTGTCAAATGTCTGGTCGAGTTGTATTTTTTTTTTTTTTTTTCAAATTGCAGATCAATTATTCCATTAAATCGTAGATATGAGAAAAATTCGGGGGAATGGATTCTACAGCATTGAATTCAGAAAAAAATCAAGTTTATTCACCTGGACGGTTCGACCACTCTTGGTTCACTGGTTTTGCTGGCAGTTCAGTGGCTTTTGTGGGGGTTGTCTCACCCGCTGGACGTGGCTGGGTGTGCATAAATGGACAATGTGGCTTCTTACATCCACTACGTTGTGACTCCCAGTAACACGCAATCGACTTGCGATTTTTCTATGCCACAGTAAAAATTCCCGAGTAATTCCACAGCCGTAAATAATTCATTAAAAGAGCAGAAAAGTATGAAAAATTAAATTTCAGTCTCGAAAACTGTATCATGCAACTGTTTTGCAGCTCATAAAATTGAATTTATCACACTTTATCACTTCCGCATTGAGTTCATTAAAAAAAAATGTTTTTAATACTACAAGAGTATATAAAAAATAAAGATGAAAAATGGAGAGGTGAAATAGTGAAAATCAGATCAACCAATTAAATATCGATCTAATGAAAAAATGTGAAAGGAGTGATACCTTCAGCTCCATGTGTCTGAAGTTGCACTTCTCGTTGAGGCAGTTACCCTGCTGCCAATAGGAGCACATCACCTCGCAGCCAAGTGCTGAAGGCTCATGTCTGAATGCACAACTATCCCCCTGTAAAAAAAATCGCAATCCATCAATGCCCGATCCCAAAAAAAAAAAGCCCATAATCCCTTATCACTCCCCAGGCTAAACGACAGTGCCTTCAACTCATCAGAATACTGTCGTAATTTACTAATAAAAACGTCCCATCTACGTAAAGGCCAGATAAGAATTATTCTCAGGACTCATGAAAATTCCAGAGAATGGAATTCTCTTCAACATGGCCGCACCTAACCTCTGCATACAATATGGAATTGCCAGCGATCATTTCCATTCCTCGAATATTAATCACCCACCGCTGATGTCTCACGAAAAAAAAAATGAAATGCCAAAAAAAAAAGTAACTAATTATTTGAGGCTTCCTCACCTTCGTGCACGTTGAGTAGTAGAAAAAGTAGCAGTCGTTATTCTTGTGGTTCTGCTCCATATTTAAGAAATTGTAAAACGCCGAGTGGTCGTGCTCTTTGCTGTAAATGCCAAGAGAACGAATTAATAATCAAAAGGATAATTAGCGATGGAGAAAATGCCCTTGTACGTGAGAGGAGAATTTCTTCGTAATTATGAAACGTTACCATTTCGTACGAAACATGTTTGAAAAGCTAAGGGATAGACCTCTTAATTCTTAAAATTTCGACTCAAATGGATGACTGACTACAAAGGAATACCTCGGAGCTATGGATTTCGATGTTACCTCGATGTACAAGGTCGTTTTTTCCAGTGTTTATTTGGATTTTAAATAGTGTCCAGAACTCACGTTTGTCAGGGGGCTATCGGTCAATGGTGACTTCTTCTTTTTTATTCTCCTTCGACACGACTCGGGTGAAACAAACACACACGAGAGTGAAGTAAAGGGACACGCTTGTTCGCGCGCAACACCGGAACAACTGGTGCTGCCGGATGATCAGATTGCAAGCGGTAAAGTTCAAGTGGAGGGCATCGATTTAACCAAAGAGGATTGACTAAAGTAGAGGCGCAGTTCTGAGGGTTTGAGTGACCCCAGCAGCATCGTAATACTGCACCCCAAGAGAGGGAGGGCGCAACACGCAATGCTGGGGTGTCCATCAAATCGACAGAGTGAATTTTATTTTCTGCGGCATGAATGCTTTTTGTTTTTTATTTGTTTGATCAATCCTCTTTGCATTTTAACATCGAAATTCACGTCGCCATGGTGAGAGGTAAACCAATCCGCGAGGATTATTTGTCGTGGTTAAAATTGAGAAGTGATTATGGAGAACCTGACGCAGAATTTGTTGAGTAATTATTATGGCCTTGGCGGGGCGAGAGGAGGGCGGGGGGGAGTGGCTAGTCATGAGGGTTTTCAGAGGGAATTGACGGAGGAGAGGATCGTGGATGATGTCGATGGACACTTCAACGGAGAAGATCTTTCTGGGGGTGGGGAAAACCCTGAGGTGAGTCGGAGGAGAAAAATGAATGAAAAAAATGATTGGGAAAAAAATTTTTTGATATTTGATGGTAGACATTCGTTATATGTTTTTTTATAGACCCAAATTGAGGATTTGAACGAAGGAAATGGAGCTGGAGACGGACTGCTACTGCCCTGGAGAGTCTTCGCCGAGGAGGATAACGTCATCAATAATATCATCGATGATGAAGTGGATTTGGAAGTGGATTTGGAAGTGGAGAACTCTCGAAAGGACGTGCAGGAAGAGGGAAAAATCGGTTTGCCTAAATTAATTATTCCGGAAAAGGGGGATGGGAGGGATGAGAGCTCCGAGCTCGGGGTCGCCGACGATGGCATTCCGGATAGTGCGTCAGACGTCTCCACGATGTCTACGAAGAAGAAAACGAGAAAGAAGTCAAGGCTAAGCACTGCAGGAGTCAATGACCCGCAGCCGCTCATCCTCATGCCACCGATTTCCAAGAAGAATTTGACCATCAACAAGGAGTTTTGCGATATGACCGACGCATCCATCACCGAGTTCCCTGTCAATTTACTCGAGGAGCTGTCGAGTATTCGAGTAAGAGAAATTCATAACAAATTCAGAGTCATAATATTCATGTTAACTACACCGATTTGTTATCGTCTAGGTCTTCGATACTGAATTTTTCTTCGCACAATATTTGATTCTCATGATTTTAGATGTTGTATCTCGATAACAACTGCCTCAATGAACTGCCAGAGGAGCTTTTCATGTCCCTGAGCTTCCTCCAGTGGCTGGATGTTCGCAATAACTGGTTGAAAACCCTCCCAGGAACAATTAAAAATCATCAATGCCTGGAGACAATTTTACTTCAGGGGAATCGTATTGAGAAATTACCTCTGGAGCTTTGTATGTTTCCTATAATAATATAATTCCTTGAACCGATTGACTTGAATTACAATTTATTCGCAGGTCTCATACCAAACCTGAAGACCCTTCAAACAGCGGGCAACCCCTTGACGTCACCTCCTCCAGGGGTAATCGCCCAGGGATTCACCTCCATCCTGAATTTTTTGATGAAAGAATGGAATATGCAATACCCGAATGACCCAGTGCCCCCCACCCCCGGTAACATTAATTATAATAATGATCAAATTTCGATTTTTGGAATATATTCAGTAGAAAAAATGTATCGAGGCGTGAAATTTTCAGAAGTGAAGTCCACATCGACGATTTTGTGTGACGACCCTCCAGTCATCAACTCCTCGAGATCTTCACGACTGCTGAGTCACTCTTCAACTTCGTCCCTGATAAAAGCCCCGAAGGCCATTTCCTCCCGCGAAAAATCGCGAAACTACAGGCCCAGCAACAGGTACGAAGCTCTGCACTCGAAAGAGTACGATCTCCTTGAACTGAATAATCGCTCGAGGATGAACGAAAGTCCCAACGTCATCTGCGACGAGTGTCGAGATCGCATACAAAATTCCTCGACACAGTCGAGTCGCCCCGACGAATGGGACTGCTTCATCGACTTCCAACAGATTAAAATAAAAATGAGAGAGCGTCAGGCCGACGACGAGCCCTCCAGGTCGTCAACACCTAGCAAAAAAGACGTCGGGATTGTTGCGAATATTGAGGATGTCGAGGAGAAGACGACGAAGGGCGTTAAATTGCCTAAAATCGTTAATGGGAATTTCTCGAGTGATGTTAAGAGACTCGAAGACGTCAAAGTCAAGGAGAGAGTTTATAATGTCATGACGAATGATAGAATAATGACTAAATTGCGACCCATGAGGCTCAACGATCCTGACTGGATTCTCGCGTTTATCGAAAATTATCTGGGGGTGGAGAACAGACCGATGGGATATTTTCCCAGTAGAAAAATTCGTCGTTAAATTCAGTACGAATAAATATCGATGAACGCTAAAGAGATGACGATTTTTTATAAGAACCCTTTTTGGAGCTATCCCCTGCAAAAAAGGTCATGATAAAAATGTCTCTTTCTTTACCCTTTACTTCCAGATTTTCCTTAATTTCCACCAGTCAAAAGTTTCGGCTAAAAAATAAATCCTTTTAGTTGTCCTTTTGGTTTCACTGTTTTATGGGATTCAGGTGCAGAAGTAGTGGTGGTAATTCAGTGCTGGAGGAGAAACTCCGGTGGATTTCCAAAGTGAGGGACATGCTCATCAAACAAGCTGCTGATATCCAAAGAATAAAGTAAGAATGCCCGGTTCAGGTTTTCTTTGAGGATTTACAACGGATGTAAATTGCAGGGATCGAGAGACCCTGAGGGAGTGGAGACGAGATGGCAGGAGTTTTAATACGAGCATGAGAAAAGCTGCCAGCAGAACTCAGGGTATTTTCACATACAGAGAAATTACTTATAAAAAAACGAATGAGAGTTTCGCGAGTGGTGAAAAGGTGCACCTTTTAAAATTCAATTTTTTCAGAGGGAATTCCCTTCGACATCGACACATCCGACACTCCGTTCCTCACCATAAAAAAATTGGAGAAACCAATGAAAGCCTCAAATCGAATGCTCTCTGAGGATATGGATAAAAAAATGTTCGACATTATGGAATCGCTCCAGCAAACAACAAGCCGATCCAGTAATTCCGATGTACAGTTGAATCTGCTCCACTCTGAAATAAAAAGGGTAAAAAAAATAAAGGGCCCATATCTTACCAGAGAACACTTCCAAATTTACTAAAGGCCTTTTTTCAGATTACAACTCTCTATGAAGAAATCCAGGCCCTGAAGAGGCAGAATGACACCTCCTACAAAAAATACACCGGCCCCATCATCTCCAGTAATCCCAAGCGTTACGATCCACCTCCATCCATAATCATCTGATGAATTAAATAAACAAACACTCAGTCTTGACGATTTTTTTAATCCGAATGAATCACCGATCACATGGTTGTCTGATAAGGATTAACATTTCATACAGAATTCAATGCGTATTTTGTGGGATCGAGACAACTGGCCAGATCGCCTCAGAAGCGAAGAGTTTTCAGGAAATATCTGTGTATCTAAATGAAATAGTAAATATTTCGTAAGAATCTTTTGTGTCCCTCTTATTTCACTCTACGAAAAGGATCTTGAGAACAATTTCGCGACCTCTCTGAAAATATAAGATATTTAACAATAATCTGATCAGGGAATGATTCATTATATTATATTACCTTTACCTTCTCGCAACTGATTTCTAATAAAACGATTGAAAAATTATCTAAAAAATTGAATAAAATATCTTGTGCTTCGAAATTGTACGATAAACCTAAACTCGATTGGATAATCTGCCCAGTATTCTCAATGACACCGCAGTACAAGCATTCATCCTCAGGATGTCAGTATAAAAATTGTTTAAAATAATCCTCGATAGGACTCCCCTCAAACATCATAATTTCGTCATTCCCTGGCCAATAACTGAATCAATCTCTTGATTACGTAATCACCCGCCATCAATAACCTTTTCTGAATTCACATAACTTTTTTTTTATAAAACTTGTGCTGAATATTGTAAAATGACAGAGCAATAGAGACTACTGCACGTTTCGACGCATCATTGATATGAAGAGGCACACACCGTTCACCATTTACCAACAATTCCTCATTTCTCGCACATTATATACATAGAGCTGCCTCTCCATTAATTTTCAATTGGCAGGGATTGAGTTCATTCAACTTTCAGTTGGAATTCAACCTTCAACGTGTTCGTTTATAATTTTGTGGCTGATGTGGAGTGATTTTTTTGTTAAACTACTGTCCGCTCTGGTGCTGATTCGAGCAGGTAAACTTTGTTTACGAATATAACTGAAGAATTGGCCTTCTGTTAGAAGCTCCTACACATGGTGATTACTCCAGGGCTCTCGTCCTGTCCGGAATTATAATCAACGAACCCTAGTTTTCCGTAAAATTCATGGGATTCTTTGTCCATCGATGACATTGTTGTGTGAACACCAAATGAACCTGCCGTTGAATACAACAAATAAAATGCAATCCAATAATTACTTTGTAATGGCAGGTAACTCGAATTTTTCAATCGATTGATGTCAAAACGAGACTCGGCATCGAAAGAAGAAAAATATTCTTACCGTTTGCTCTCAAGGCCGCGAGAATACAAGTTATCAGTCTCTTAGGGATCGACTGATCCGTAACAGTAGGTAATACTGAACACATTATCTGTGATGGATGTTGACGAGCCAATTGCTCTGGGACATCAACGGTAAATGAATGGAAATACCTTATCGCCTCCTGAAAGAATAAAATAAATAATTGAAATCATTTCCGATCTTTTCCGAGCATTAAAGTATTTAGGAAATATTCTTAATACTGGGATTGTACCTGAACACTTGAAGGGAGGTCATTCGTGATGTCCTCCAGTGGATACTTCACTTGCAATTCTGGTATCCAAGATACCGCCATTTTTTGATTAAATGTTTTAACATTCAACGAAGCTGCAATGTATCCCACAATGCCGTCATCGTCCTCGACAACCATACAGAATTCTGGACTGAGGGTCAAGTATCCACCAACGAGTCTGTCAGCAACAGCTGATGTACCACTGACCCCAGTAATTCTATTACACACTGCATAAACAGCGTCTTCGTCAGATGGGAGATAAGGTCTGATGGTGTAGATCTTACTGGTGGGAATTTCAGGTGCTTTGTACACGAATAAATCGTTCCCACTGTCCACTGGAATCAGCCTCTGCGGGGTAAGAATTTTGACAGCATAAAGGTTAAAATAAAATGTTCCGTTTTTCAAATTAAGAATGGAATGATGATAAACCTGCAGATCCGCTGTTAATCCTCCTCTGAAAACCCACGGTTCTTGGTCCCCACTCATAAAAGTTTCCTTCCATCCATTCGAGAACCCTATCCCACACGGAATAAATATTTTGTTGTAATATTTATTGCAATTACAATAAAACTGATAACGCCGCGCTGCTGTTAATTTACGCTATGCAGCGAGGACTCAATATTCTCAATGACACAATCATTGACCAATAAAAATCAATGAGAATTCAAAAGAAAATTCTATGAATAAGATTATTGCGTCCTCTTCGCGCATCACAATCTCTTGCAAAGGTCTGGAAAAGGAAAATGTTTCATGAAAATCCATGAAAATGATACAAGAAATCAGCCTGAAATAAAATATCCAATTACTCCTGGAAATTTCTGGAAGCAAAATAAATTAGTATTGAAGAGCCGAAAATTAGGGAATGAGATAATTAAAGGGGTGGGAGGAAGAGGCTGTGATTGCTGAGTTAGTATTCAAAATCTACGCGCAATTATTCAAAATAAATAGATGCAAATGCACAAGTGTCGATCATCAACGGGTGTCTGTCACTTTACATAACGTTTTATAATCTCTTTTCTTATTTTTACGGTAATGATCGATACTCGGTTTGTCGCGCGCTGATGTCACGAATTACTTATTGAAAAGTAAATCCCATACATGTGTAGCTCCCCTGGGTAAATGTTGTCATCGTCGATGGAAATCTGCCAAACGCTATCACCAGGAAAAGAAAAAAAAAATTCAATAATTACAACGAATTCTCTCTTCAGGTCATTCGAGTGTTCAGTCAAGAAGGAAAATATCTGTCAGTCTATTGAGTGATGTTCCAGCTGCGTAAATAGTCATTATTCAATTTTATCACAATAATAATTTAATGGAGCCGATAAATTCCTTCCTGAGGCACGACTGGAAGAAAAATCATTGAGCCCCATTAATGTCTCGAGGTCTGAATCGTTGCTGTTGATCAACCAAAATCAATTAAAATTGCCGGGTGTTGTTTATCGAGATTCGGTGGTTTGGGGTTGCTTCCTCCATTTATTCCAGATCATCTGCTCTCTGTCTTAAATTACCCCACAATTTATGCGCTGTTTGCAGTTGAAATTTTGCCTGATAGTGCCAATTTGTCAATCTACGCGCGCTGTACCGTATCTGCTCCTAAAGCGTAGGTGCAGATCTTCGGCAGTCTAGTCATTACTGTTACCCAACAATCCGTGATGACTTCAATTAATTAAATGATACTAATGACGCGCTATTTGCAGCAGATATTACGCCTTTTTATCAGTGAATACGCGGCTCGATTCACTTCTCTCATTGAATAATTAAATAATTATTCAATTAAAAATACAATTACCAATTAATTATGTTTCGTCTGAGTGCAGTAATAAAAAAACGCTAAGAATGTTAACTGAGTATTCACTGATTGTTTACTCTTAATCCCTTTAGTTTAATTAACTCGTGTCTTTTTCCATTTCCCATTCAATCACGAATTGACTAATTTGTAATTTATTGACTAATATCTTTTTGACAGAGAAAAAATTAATTTCGTTTCGTAATGATTGAATAAGAAATTGAAGACCTGATAATAAAAAAAAACTCACCAATCCTGCAGATGGTACTCTTCTGAAAATCAAGGAATTAATTACAAGAGATTGATTGCTAGTTGATCAACATCAACACTCAGGGCTCGATCAGAGCATGATTAATTGATTTTTTGTAAATAATTGGTTCTTCCAGTGAAAGGCTTGAGCATGATTTTTCTTTCACTCGTGGACTATAAGAATCAAATGTACTGCACTGAATTCAATATAATGAACTGTTTGGAGAACCAAATACCACGAGCACTCACCCAGCCACTTGACATAACTATTCAACAGTGAGACAACTCCTCTCATATCCCAAATGTACGAGTAAAGATCGTACAGTAATTCTCGATTGTTGCAGTAGGTGAGGCGTTGGAATAAACGATTGACAGCACTGCACATGTCATTCATTTTGGCAGCACGTGCATGCCACTCCTCAATCTTCAACAAGAATTATTCAGTTCCAAATAGTAATTCACCTCAGTACGATTTAAAAGTAAAAATACCAATAAAATATTCACTACATTCACTGCGAAGAGTAGAAATTAACATTTTTTCTAATACCAAAATTATCTGAAAAAATAAATGTGGATATTCTGGTAATAACTCAACTCATAAATTAATACATACATCAGCTTTGCCCTTCTCCTCCTCATCCTTGCTCTTCCTGATGACGACATGTGCATTGCTCTTGAGCCAATTAAATTCCTGGAGAAGCTGAATGCCCTGTCCCCCGTGTTCGAATGGTAAATAAAAAAGATCACAGAGAAGTGAAAGATCCTCGACAGTGAGTCTCTTCTCGACATCCTTCACCTCATCATTCTCAGTGTCTTCCCCAGGCTCATGATTATCTGCATCATTCTCCACAATCATCTGATTTCCATTGATAGTTGGGGACGTACCATCAATTTCCACCTGCATACTGCCAGAAGTTCCACTGCAGGTGGAAGTATTCTCAAACATGACATCATCCTCGGTGGGAATTTTCGCGACGTGAGCTGGTGAATTACTGGGAGTGGTGTTGCAGTCCATGGGCTCTGTGGATCCACTGTTCTGCACCCCAGAGATTCCCAATGATGGATTGACAATGGGAATGACTGGTTCACTGACGACTTTCGTCTCAGAGATGAGTGAATTCATGACGGGACCTGGGAGGGGCTGTGCAAAGCTCTCAGTGACGTTCGAGCAGACTTCAGCAAGTGCCTGAAGATGATTGGCATTGGAGATTGCTGGAGCTGATGCCACTGAGACAACAGCGGTGCTCGTTGTTGTTGTGAGACTCATGCAGGTGTTTATCGAGGGAATAATGGGAATGGGTATTGTGGGGGCAACAGCTGGCTGCGGTTTTGCTATCACTCCCCATGCAGCTTTTTTCTTGTTGAACTCTGGTAGCCAATCATTAATGGCATTCTTCAGGGCGTGTCTGGGATGATACATATTCGGGGAGAGTGTCGAGGGTACGTCCTCTCCAACAACACCATCCTCAGTCTCTGTCTCCAATTTTATATCAGCTGATACAGTGTCATTAAGACTGAGGTCTCGTTTCCCATCCACATTGCATCTGCTCCACTGAGCCAACGTGTGAATAGCGATAAAATTCGCTCCATACTCGCAGTTGGGATTTGTTAACACCCCCCTAAGCTTTGGAATGAGATCTGGAGATCTGCCAGAGTACGGTCCCAGGAACACTCGCTTCTGGTCGTAATCGTTGGCGTGCAAATTGTCCCAGATCACTGGTGGTCGTCTCAAGACTTCTGTTATCTCCTCTACTGACTCAACTGTCAGGAGACGAGAGATGACTTTTGGTCCCGTCCACATTATGTCAATTTCTTGAGCTAATTTACTCCCCAGGGTGTTCAGGTACTCTGAGGTCGAGACGTTTGGCATTGCCCTGGTGGCACAGTACTGCGTTGGGCAGAGCAGGAATTTTGGTTGGCCCAGATGATGGAAAATGTCGTTTGTCACTGAGACTTGGGCATGGGCGAAGGATTGAAACACCTCTTTGTCGGCTTCACTCATCTCTGGCTCGATGTCGTCGAAGAGCAGGGCAAATGCCACACATCCAAACTGGGAAACCTGCTCCAGCTTTCGTTTCAGGGCTGTTACCTCTTTTGCACTGGAGTACGTGATGTCAAGACCTGGGGAGAGGGCGTAGTAGAAAGTTATACCACTCTCTCTGGCTGCTGTTATTAAGCCGGTTAAATGTTCAGCTTCTTCCACGGTGTACAGGTCACGCCAATATGCTCGGTGCTTGTAATCGTCCTTTGGAGCGTACAGATACGAATCCATCCCCCATTTTTTCATTCTGCGGAAACGGTCATCAGTCAATATTCATTCAGCTTTATTCATCACATTCATTCATATTCATTTTAACTGTCTCGTCAGAGATTCAATCGTAAAAAAATGTCAAATCAGTTCGATATTTTCCAGTGGGTTGAGGAAAGTCTAAATCTTGTGAAAAAACGTTTGTCCATTTAATATAATGAAATATATCCGTCAAAAACTAATTACTGTCAAATGATCACTCGTTCATAAATGAGAAACAATGAGAATTACTTTTGAAAGAGATCTTTGCGCTGCTCCGTCGTCCAAGGTCTTCCATAAAACCCTAAAAAAATCGTGAGTCAGAATAACGACATCGAGAGCAATTGTCCGATCGATTATTTACTACCTTCCACAACGCCACAAATGAAATTTCCATTTTTTGTATTTGAATTGGCAGCTCCATTGGTCTCCGTCATTTTTCCAGGCCTAAATCCCCCTGGAATTTTGTTTGCAATCGACTGGCAAATATGGCTGACTAAAACACGGCAGTAACCAACAGTTCCCTCTGTTTATGTTGTGTTTTTGTCTAAGAGTTGTGCCGCGTTGCAACAAATGCGTCACGGAAGATTTTAACTTTTATAAATGCTCGATTGTCACGGAGATATCATTTTTTTCTGGAGTAATTATCGAGAATTTTATGTGGAACCAGATGAGATTATTTCCAGGACACTTCACCGTATGTGGGTCGATACTTGAGTGAAACGATTGTTCAAGATTTCGAGGCAATATGCATTTGACATGAACTCTACCTTATCAGCAATCCAACATGCACGTTTCAAATATTTAAAGGAAAATATTGATTATGTATCAATCATGCATTTATTATTTATTTTTATTATTTATTTATTCACTGCTATGAAGATGATTCTACTCCACGAATTGATCTCAAATTTATCTACATTTTTTAAATAAAATGTCAGGCGATTATATTATTTAAAATACTCGCTATTTTGGTATTGGAAATCCAATCGATTTCTATGAAGAATTATCATAATGGCTTTTGAAATTCTAGCTGTCCTTGAAATATCAATGATCATTGATAATTTCCATTTCAGGAAACACAAATTGAAGTTCGTAACTCAATGGACTTGCAGGTAAACGTTCTCATTTATTATCTCCTCTAATCTTTCTCTAATTTCCTCCAAGAGCGCATCGAAATGGAAAAATTATTGAGATTGCACGCAAAAATTTGCATGGGAAAATTGAGAAATGGAGATTACATTTTATGTTTCTTATGGGATGCACAGAAAATTAAATCACGTCAATTAATCAATTAATCGAAGATAAACTAATAATTTTCATTGTCTTGTCCATGTCCATAATTTTTTTTCATCAAAAACTCAAGATTATCCCGAAAAACCGCAATCAAGGTAGACCCATGCAAATGTACTCCAAGTGATGTATCATTTAGTGTGTAAACACGTTTTGATGTCACATATCTCCGACTGGATATATGAGGAAAGTATTGGAGGATGTGTGAGTAAAACTTGCACACATCGTCTCTTGCCGATTTAAATAAAACCCGCGACGTGACTCGGAATTTATTTAGTGTCGGAACATCGAGCGTCGAACGTAATTTAAAAAAAAAGAAATCCATTCGGTGACTAGTTTTTCTTCGAGGTCATGGCTGTCCCCGGGAAACTTCACATGTGCTTGTTGCTGATGTGGAGTATATGCCCTGATGCCAAGACACAACGAGGTAATTCCCCTTGAATAATCGAGCCCAACCGCGAAGAACCGACGAACTAAACTTCTTCTTCCTTTGATTTTTCTCAAATATCTCCGAAACTACGGGAGATGGTGAAATCATCCTTGAAAGCTTTTTTATAGACCTAATTGAGAAGTACTCAAAAGCCTTTTACGAAAATTTCGGTATCTCTCATCGTTTCCGAGATGTTTCGAAAAAATCGGTAGGCTAAATTGACTCGTCTCGTTTTATGACTTCATAACAAATTTTTATTTTGAAAACTGCAGATAAGCATCGGCATTGCCGCAGACAATATGTTTTTCCATTCATATATTGTGATTGTAGTGAAAAAGTGGTCGCAGATTTTGTTATGTTACATTATTTAATTATAAATGTGTGAAGGATTTTTTATGTGTTCTGTAAATGATTCAATGTTCCTAGAATGAGATCGGTTCTCGGTAATTTTGAAAATTGATCGACTGTTTGGCATTGAAACGCGGATATGACTGGCTATTATCTTTCGTTTGCTTCCAGACCACTTTGATAACGTGACGCCCACCTAGTCACGTTCAAATATTATTTGACAATTAATATTCAGAGATTATTACGTAAAATGCAAATCTACTGTGCAGAAAAGACGTAGAACAAAAATACAGAAGATGAGAAAAGGATTTTTGAAAGGATAATACCGCGTGAGACGAGTCCACTTATCTTGCTTTAATTCTAATTGTAATAATTCATCTACTTTGTCGAAAATCAGGATTTCCAGTCATTTTTATGTCATTTATTTCACACCTGGATTTTATTTTCAAGGAATCAAATTATAAATTCATAACGTTTCTCAGAAAATTCACTGGAATTCCCCATTTCAGAGGTACAAGACCGACAATTATCCGATTCATTTGAATATTCGATCACAACACGAATATTCAAAACCTAATTACTTCAATTTTTTAATTAATTGAAAATTGAATTGACTGTACGCCGACCAAGCTTCCTCGGGAAATAATATTTCTCGATAATTATAAATAATGATTATTACACACAGAAGGAAGTCCCTGCGACCTAGAAACTGGCGAACCTGGGGAGTGTAAATTGCTGAAAAACTGTCCTCCGAGGATCGCTGAAGTTCGCCAGGGCAGGAGGCAAGCGGATTCACCGAGATGTGGGTGGGACAAATTCGAGGAAATCGTGTGTTGTCCCACCAAAATTCAGGAAAAAATTGGAATTCGCCCGGCTGATTTAGGTATTTCCCACGCCTACACCTGTTTTTTCCTTCTCTCTCTCTCATCTTTATGAATAAAAATAGAAGACGAGAGTACTGATAAATACCGATTTCATCCCACCATTGAACGGCTCTCGTCATTACTTCAGATCATCAAAAAGAATGACATCCGGAAGTAGTAAATGAGTAAATGGCTTCGGGACCGATGGAATTATCAATCGATCATCCAGTCATTAATAACGGTTAATCGGTTCTTGATAACGCGCGGAAAAATAATTGTTCTTGGATATTTATGTACCGAGGATGATACTTTGCAGTTTCTTCCTGTTTTCCAAGAAAATGTAAACAAAATCCCATTATCTGCAATAAAAATGAAAAAATTAGCGCACTATTGTTTTCCTTGTAGATAAAATCGTAAAATTGTGGAAATTTAGAATAAGGCGAATTCGCAGAAGTGTTATCAGTGCAGTATTTGATTTAATATTCTTTTCAATCTGGGAATTTTTTCCCGCAGTGATTAATCGATTAAAACTACAATTGCTACAACAATCCCACTGGTTCTCATGATAAGGGAATGGCTGTGGATTTTACTGCATTGTATTTCCAAGATGAATGGGAAATTTTATTAATGAGACGATCCTGAATTAAATGAAATACAATTGAATGCATTTGAATACAATTAAAATTTTTTCAGCTTGTCAACAATACGAAAACGACATTTTCCAAGTGGTGACACCCAGCATCACGGCTGGCATCGAGGCGAATTCCAGAGAGCTACCTTACATGGCAGCCCTGGGGTACATCGACAAAGATAAATTACCTGAAAAAGAGGTAATTTACGGCTGCGGCGGTACTATAATCGCCCCCACGTACGTCCTGACTGCTGCCCACTGCGTCGAGAATTTCCAGAATCGTGTTCCCATTTTGGTAACGAAGCTGTTACAATTCAGTGTTTATCTCCACTCACAATCACTCCAATTACTCTAGATAATGTGGAATACGTAATGAATTTTGATAGGTACGAGTTGGGGCTGAGTCCCTCGACCCCAAAGCAGCGGGTGCTCAGTTCATAAGGATAAAGAGTATAATACAACACCCTTGGTACAGACGCAGTCAAATTTACAATGACATTGCTCTCCTCAAGTTGTCAAATCCCTTCAAATGGTCAACAACTGTCAAGCCAATTTGCCTCCATTCAAAATCAATCAGCGAGGCTGACATCAACGCAAATGTCTCGATTTTCGTTGCCGGATGGGGTGACACCGATTTCAATGGGGAGAGGTCCGATAAATTGATGAGAACACCGAGTCTCAAGTAAGTGATGCACTTTAAAGAATATTAAAATTGAGAAATGAAGTGATTAACAGTGAGATTCCCCACAGTCTGGTGCCACTGACAAAGTGCTCAGAGTCGTATCCAAGAAGCCGGCGAATTCCCCGGGGTCTCAACGACACTGTCATCTGCGCTGTGGATGGGGATCAAACGAGAAGAGCTGACTCCTGCCACGGGGACAGTGGAGGACCTCTTCTGATGCTCGACACCCAGAGTGACACCATAATCGGCATCACCTCCTTCGGCCAGACCTGCGGAAGCACAGCACCTGCAGGGTACACCTCAGTCTTCAAATATCTCGACTGGATCGAGCAGAATGTCTGGCCTGACACACAAAGTCGATCTGCCACTGACTGAAATCAATTATAATCAATGCAATTGCTCTAATATCTACTTGGAAGCCTGAATCACCTGAAAACTGAAGATTTTTTCCAATTTTGGAAGAAATTCCACTGAAATTTATTGGAAACTCTACAATTGTGACCTTTTTAGTGGAATACGATTGAAATTAACTGGAAACTGAAGATTTATTCCACTTTTTGGTACATAAATTAGTTTCGTAGCTAAAGCATTCTGTTGAGCCGAGTAATATTTATACAAAAATATCAACGATATTCTTGTTTCACAAGCAGAAAACATCCCAAGTCTTGTGGTAATAATCCACCACATGGATATCATACGCAATTACACTATAAGTACAATCTGTATTATATACATTAACCTCCATCAGCTATTGAACATCATTTCTTATATCACATGATAACTGGTAAATCTTTAAGGGTAGTTCTACCCTAGAGCAGTTAAACACTTCAATACTTCATATTCCAAAGCTCCAGAAATTAAAAATTGAATTACTTTTAAGTTACTTGTCAAGACTGAGAGAAAATCACTTGAATTTTAACAGAACGAAATACTTTTTCATTATTTCGGGCTACTCTCGGAGCCTATCAGTGGAAACACCTGAGTGATTTTGCCGATACCCTTGGCCCTACCCTCCCTGAAGAGGAGTCTCATCCCCACGTGGAGATACTCTGGGTGACTGACGAACCTGAAGAGAACTGACGCTGTGTCGTTGGTCTGCAGGCCCTCTTCCTTGATATCCATTATTCCCTCCATCACGCACGTTTGCCTGACATTCCCCACGTGGACAGTCGCTTGGAAGCCGGGGTATATCGCTGTAGCGTGGTAAACAACCAGAACAGTTGCCTAAATGAAAATAAAACGTTGGAAATTGTCTTACATGAGCAATTCAGCCGTCAGATTACCTGAAAAAAAACCGTGGCGTGTGGATGATCTCCGCCACTAACGAGCACCATTCCAGGCCTGAAATGGGGCAGTCCCCCTCGATTATTGCTGGGTGCAAGAGTGAGACTAGCACTCTGTGATGCTCTGACAACACAGCAGGGGGCTTTATTCCTGTGCAGACTGACGACCTTCACAGGACTGAACTCACCATCGGGGAGAGGTCCCACAAGTAGTCTAGCTCCTGGTGCAATGGCACCCTTGACGAGGAGGCCCCCAAGCACAGGTTCACTGAGACCAGCGACCCTGAAAGTCTCATCAATCTGAAAGAGACAGGTGCCAGGCTCTGTATCACACGTCGAAGACTCCGAGGGTGAGAGATCCTTAATGAAGTTGGTGAGCTCTTCAAGGCCAGCACCTGTCACCGAACTAACAGTGAACACAGGAATAATATTGGATTCGTAGTGCTGAAGGAGATCGTTGTTGTTGCTGCAGAGGACGAGATCTTTGCCACAACCCTGGGCCCTCACAGCGCTCTCTAGCTGCATGAGAGTCTGTCGATAGTCGCACAGGCCCAGATCTGTTTTCGTGACGACAATGAAGAAGGGAAGGTGCAGGGCTAGACACAGGGCCATGTGCTCTTGGGCAGCTTCGTTCAGGGGAGGTGCCACTACCAGCATTACGTGGTGAGGTGAGTAGCCCATCAGTCCCAGGAGTGTTGTCCTCAGGTATTTCCTGTGTCCAGCTAAATCGATAAATGTCACGACCTTGGATGCGTGCTCGCAGATCTCCTCTGCTGTCGTCATCTCTGCGTAGTTGAGGACGTGACCCACAGGATCAAATCCAATTATCTCGTGGGATATCGAGGATGTTCTTCCTGTTCTGATCTCGTGCAGGTGTCGTAGCATGTTGAGTCTCGCCCTCCCCCGGCCATTGTCCAGCTCCCCCTGGGTCAACACACCCAGAAGAGTCGATTTCCCTGCATCTTGGGATCCCACCACTGCTAATCGCAGGTCTATAACACTGTCCTGATCGTCTCTATCACCTTTACGTAGTTTTGTCACCATTACCTCTGCCACTCGTCTCTCTGTGGGGTTGTCGTCAGGGAGTTTTTTCTTGGATTTTGCTTTTGTCACTCGCTCTCGAAGGACTCGAGTCGTCGCACCCAGGCGCGAGGCCATGTCTCGAAGAGTCTTGAGTGATGCTTTCATCTCGTCTCGAGACAGACCTGCTAGCCTTCCATTGTCCTCCACACCTGAAATTGTCATTTGAAAATGGTACATGCATTTTGGGTGACACAGGTTTCGAGATTATTCGACATTTAACAAAAAAGATGACTCATTCTATTTCATTCTTCAAGAAAATGTTATAAAATTTACCAATTTGATAAATAGCCTCTCCATGTCCCTCCCTGAGCCTCCACTTCATCTGCGTCACCAGGTGCTCAAACCTCTGTGATGATGGATTCACCAGCTTCAACTTGTACTCGACATTTCCCTGTTCGGGCTCAGGGGGTAGACTCTCCTCATTATCCTCATCATTTCCCCGATCGCATTCATTTCCCTTCCCCCAGGACTCTCTCCTCTTGCTCTTCGGTTCCCCAGTGTCAAACAGCGCCAGGAACGACTCCATCTTCATCACGACAATCAAAACAATTGATTTTTATGCACTTTCAATGAATTATTGCATCAGCCTCCATCAAAAAGTACCCCAGTGTATCATCCACTGTTATCCACTACAATACAGACATAAACAGTCGGAACCGCGAACCCCTGGTGGGTGGAGGATCACGTGACCCTCTGACATTTATGAATCTAGCGCCGTTCATGAAATTCCCGTTTTCAAATGCATTTGTCAATTTTTTATGAGAATGATAATTTATGTTTCGATAGTTACTCATTAATCGCCTCCTCATATAAAATCTGCTATATCTCCATCTCCATACAATGTAGTGAAATTAATTTTAATTGAGCCAAATTAACCTTTAACGCCAATTAAATCAAATACGCGTACTCCGCTGTCATGAACGTTCACATGAGAACCCATCCTTGGGCACATCACTCATGACACTTTCCAGTCCACGCTTTTTTACTGAAGGAATGACACATCATGGTTTATATACACACCAGAGCAAACACTGATATCGAAAACAAAAGGGGAAATCCACGTCAGCAATTGTCCAATCACTTGTCATTCGATGAGATATTATCGATGAATTCGAAACTCATATCCTTATCTCTTCTGTTTTTGCTAACAAAAAATCAACGATTTTTGCGTTTGGCTCGAGCTGAACTGACAGCTGGGCTCGAAGGGTTAAGTCAGGGGTCGTTTTCTTGTTCAAAATCATCACTCAATCATCACTGAATTATAGGAGATAGTGGGTGAATGAAGAATCAGCGGAGTGAATTGAAAAAAAATTTTGGTACTGACCTCATCTGTGGTTTGAGGTCCTCCTATCCTAGAGTTTAAATCGAGCAAATTCAAATACCCAGTACTGCCAGAAAATAGTGGGCGGCCATGTTTATTCGTCCTTCAAATCCCCTTTGGCAAGTCACTGCAATCTGGCAACTGGCATACGCCAGTCTCACACGAAAGTCGAGAAACGATAGTCCCCAGTTTTAAAATTGATAATCTCATTTCACTTTCTCCTTCTATTACACCTGGGGCAATAATCCCGCTCGCACTCCCAATTCCGATATAATTCCGTTTTTGTTAATAATCTCTTAATAATTTTTTAAATTCTAATGCCATGCTCACCTTTCATCAGTTTTTATTCAATTTTTTTTAGTTTAATTTTTTTTAAGTTGTGAAAAGTCGACGTTACAGTTCATTCGATAAGAAAAATTTTACTTAAATTACATTAGCTGTATAATTTGAACTATCCCATTAGAAGTAAAGAGCGATAGCCGAGGGAGTAAAATGAACATTCGAACTTTTCTCGGGTCCTTTCGAAAAGTCGAGTAGTCGTTTTGCCCCACTCTCGTCTATGAATATTACGAAGCAAAATTCCTCGTTCTCGTTGCACGAAAAAAATAGAACAGAGCATAACACCGCACCATTGCATCACTCTCCTGGCAACCGAAAACCCACGAATATATAAATCAGACGATTTTTTAAATCGCACACCGAAAAAAAATGCTCAACATTAGAAAAAATGTTTCTGGATTAAGGAATAAATTGCCTATAACCAAGGCGACAATTTCTTTTGAATCTCTAAATTTTTTTGCTACCGTCAGAATTTTTTTTCAACACCAAAAAGAACTGTTTAAAAAAAAAAAAAATTCTCGAATTGAGATAAAGTTTCTAAGGTAGAGAGAATATTTTTTCCGATGTATAGAGAACAATCACAATGATATCTTCCCAGGAAGAAATATCAAAAACCCTTAAGATTACAACTCAATGTTATGTACAGTCTGTATGTACACGATCATTTAAATTAAAAAAATTGGCTACGTAATGATTACGTAAGACTTGCAGTCGTGTCATTGGGGTAAGAGAGGTTCGCTCTCAGCCCTGACGACATGTTTAGTGGAAAATTCCTCGGAATTTGATTGTACTTTATCGTTCTTCAACAATGCATCGTTCAGACACACGTTATTGAGACTGACAGCTGAGTTTGAGAACATGGCCATTGCGCAATTAGAGTCCTTCTGATCGACAACACTAGTGGATCTCTGGATCTTCTGATGATTGGGATTTCCGGGGTTTTTATTCGTGTGGGAGGAGATGAGGTCGCTAGCTTTTCCCAGGATGATGAGGCTGTTGAGCACCCTCAGGGCCACGAGGATCAGGTACCCCAGAAAAAAGAGGAGGAGATTCGCCGGCTTGGCTGATGGAGTCAGGGTGGTGCAGAGGACTTTGCCGATGGCTACGCTAAGGGGCAGAGGGATAAAACCCATTCGACGGGCCACAAGGTCAGAGGGATCTGAAAAAGCTGTCTCTTGTCGAGTCTGGGCCATGTCGTACGCCAAACTCACTGTGTAGTCCCGATAAACTGTCGATCGTAGCTCGTTGAAACGTGTGATAAAGGCGTGTTTCACCTGAAATCATTCGTTTCAAAGAATTTCATCATTTCGAACTGTTCGTCAATTTTTTTTGAAAACTTGTACGCATGAGAATGATTTATTACTTGTGCCGTCGCCAGGGAAAATTGATATAAAACCTTTTTTTTATTAATGATAAATGAGAATGATAGGAATAAAATTCAGAAAAATTTTAAAGAACTTGAGAATCGATTTTGAATAAATTACCCAATCAACGAGAACTTCAGCAACAAGTAGAAGTATGCAATCAGGAAGTAGAACAGCTAAGCGATCAGCTTTCCATGCATACTCTTTCATCGTCTGAAGACTCACGGCTAGGAGGAGCATCGTGAGGTGAAACCTCTCTCTTACGTCAGCGCAGGCTAGTTGAAATAAATTACTCTTGTCGAATTTCTTGAAAACCGAGCCTTTCAATTCCACGAACTGAAATAATTTGGAAAGTCGATAATTATCAAACCACTATTTCAAAATAGAAACATTGTGGGACTTTTTTATATTTAATTAAATCGATCAAATTTCGTAACTTACATTATTCGACATCATAATCGTTAAGAGAGCTTTATTACTGCTGTTAATGGCGACATTGAGGGTTGTGGCTTGAAACAACACGAGAATGCTGTGCAATACTGAACAAATATCGTCAAGAGAAATAATTATACATATTTGACGAAATCGATTTGTCACGTGTAAAGGATACAGACGTAGGTCAAAGCAAACAGCAAATGGGGAAGAGTCCCCAGGTGTTGTCGATGCCTCGATTGTGACCTTGATCTCGGCTCGGTGGCTGTCCACAGCAATGCATCGATCGTATCCTGTCCAAATGCACTGAACAAGCGATCCCCAACCTCCAGCATGTTGTAGAAAATGTAGAGTTTGATAACCGACTGGCTCTTGACCAGATGATACATCATGGACGTATCCACTTTACTCGTTGCTGCCCAGCAACCCACCACGACAACTCCTTTCAACAGATCACACACCTCAGCTGGACGTAGAAAACGCTCTTCCTTTTTTCTCGCCCCTTTTTTACCCCTGCAATGATTATTCATTCGATCAGAATTTATCCCTCGTCCATTGACTTGTTTGATTTTTCACCTCAGACAGTGCTTGAGAGGTCGACTGATGATGGCCCACAGCGCCATGAGAAATCTCAAGGGTAAAAATGTGTAAACGAATAAAAAAGAATCTGCACACTGCAATGGAAGAATAAATTAAATAAATTAGGAGTGGAGTTATATTTTCAATTATCCACTCGGTTGAGGACCTTGAGGTGGATATTATTGAAATAATCAACCGTAGAAAAACTAGATATGTAAAAAGTCACAAAAAATATCTCGAGAAGAAAACAAAAGCTATTAATAAATGAAACTTCTCCCTCACTCGAGATCACCTGAATTTTGGAGAATGACTAATCCCTGAAAATTACCTGAAAAAATCCATAAGACATAAATTTCTCGACCTCCCTCGGTATCTTCATGAAGGAATAAATTTTTTCTCGCCTCGCAGAGAACCTCTCCTCGTCATGCTCCAATTGGTATCCCCTGGTCAGCTCGGTCTTGACGAATTCGAAGATTGACACAGCTGCAAAAGAGTCCCCAAGAAAAAATAAAAACTGCGAGAACTCCCAAGGCAAATCCCTGCCAAAAATAGTATCCTCCTCTCTCCCAATAGTTTATGTAATTACCACGTTTCCCAGGTACCTCAGAGACTTCGTCAGAGATCTCACAACCATCCTCACGAGGTTCAAGTCCTTCAACCCTGTCCTCGACATTTTTGGAGGTTTTTCCATCACCCTTAAACCGAATACGTCTCCTCTCAGGACTGACAGACGAATTCCCATCAACAAAACCTTCACCACTATCACTCATTGTCTCTTGTTTGTTGACTCTCGTCATGATGACAGGATACCCATAACCTCGTGGTGAACAGCTGTTCTCCACTCAGCGCAATCTCAGTGGCTCGACTGACAGAGGAATTAAAAGGAAATTCTCCTGTCGATCCCGAGACCATCGAAAATTCTAATAATCACCGAATCTATCGGCCAATTCACTCAGCCATGACGAGACGATCCTCCCGATAAATCGTCACATTCATCACTGATTCACAACCGACCAACGGGCACAAAAAAAAAAAACCAATAATGTACGCGTGTTGTCAGTTGACAGTTGTGTGAGAAACGCGTACGATGACATGAACATGGCGGCATCCACTAGTGAGTTGGTGGATGACCGATATCACTGCAAAATATGCATTATTGGAGGTGGAATGGCCGGTTTATCAGCTGCTAATCATTTACTCAAGAATAATGAGAATGATTTCGTTATTCTCGAGGCGAGGGGTCGTATCGGAGGACGAATAGTGGCCACTGAATTCGGTGAGACTGATTAACCTCGATTCTATCACCCCACGTCCCCCCATAAACTTCCCTCTTCATTAATTATTATCAAACAATCATGTCAACTCATTTCAAATGCATCAATGGAAATCATTAATCACCCTTAATATTATTTAATATGTCATCAGCTGATAACCGCAATGCGCCAATATTTTCTGTTGATTCTCTCGTCACCAGTCAATGTATCGACTTTTTCAGGTGGTGAACGAGTGGAATTGGGGGCTAATTGGATTCATGGAGTCCTGGGGAATCCCATCTTCGAGCTGGCCATGGCCAATGGGTTAATAGATATTGTCAGGTGTCCAAAGCCCCACAAGGTCGTAGCAGCCACTGAAGATGGTAAACAACTGCCCTTTCCAGTCCTCCAGGAGATCTACGAGGCCTATGTCTGCTTCCTGAGGAGATGTGAGGAGTATTTCCTCAGTGCCTATAATCCTCCGGAAGGTATTAGCAGTGTTGGGGCACATGTTGCCCTGGAGACTGATCTGTATCTGGCGTCGTTGCCAGAGGAGGAGAGACCCATTCGACAATTACTCTTCGATTGTCTGCTGAAGAGAGAGACGTGCATTACTGGCTGTGATAGCATGGAGGATGTCGATCTCCTGGAGATGGGGTCTTATGCTGAGCTCCAGGGGGGTAATATCAGTCTCCCTGGGGGGTACAGTGCCATCCTGGAGCCCATTTCAAAGCACATCCCCAAGGAGAAGATCCTCCCACGTCATGTGGTTGAGAAAATCAGGTGGCAGACTGTCTCCAAGGATAAACCAACGAATTGTACTTATAATAATAACAGCATAGAAATTATTTGTGAGAATGGAAAGACCATCGTGGCTGATCAGGTCCTCTGCACTCTTCCCCTGGGGGTACTTAAGCACAGGATCAATGACATCTTCGAGCCACAGCTACCAAATTACAAGATCGAGGCGACTGGCAGACTCATGTTTGGGACTGTAGATAAAATATTTCTCGAGTACCAGAGGCCTTTTCTCAATCCTGATATCTCGGAAGTCATGCTCCTGTGGGACGACAGAGGAATCACCGACGAGGAGCGTCAGGATATCAGTAAATCCTGGCACAGGAAAATTTACTCTTTTACTAAACTCTCGGATACTCTGCTCCTGGGGTGGATAAGTGGGAAGGAGGCTGAGTACATGGAGACGTTGAGCACCAGTGAAGTTTCTGAGGTGTGCACCACTATTTTGAGAAAATTTCTGAATGATCCATTTGTTCCAGCACCCAAGGGTTGCATCTGCACGTCCTGGCATTCCCAGGAGTATACTAGGGGATCTTACACTGCCATGAAGGTTGGGGCTAGTCAATTGGATATTGAGGCACTGGCTGAACCCATCTACTCACCCCAGGAGAAAAAAAAGATTCTCATTGCTTTTGCTGGGGAACACACCCATTCTTCTTTCTACAGTACTGTTCATGGAGCTTATTTGACTGGTCGCACTGCTGCGCAGAGTCTTCTGGAGTCGAGGATAAAGGAGAAGCAGGGGCTCAGTGTCAACTGCGAAGAGACCAGTGACTTGAGCTCTTGGATTCAGGGGATTTCACTCAACTGAAGGATTTTTCACCTATCTCGGGGGCTCACGCTTCTTCTTGTGAATTATTTCAATTTTTTTCTTTTTGTATATAACGAGACAGCTTTGAAACATGTACATATTAAATCGCCTATTTAGGTATTAATGTCATTTGTTACTCGATGAATTTTATTAGTGGAGATTGAATGGAGTATTTGGGTCAATCTAGTCGTGCAAATACGCCACCAATAGATATTGAAGACATGCATTTTATTTATCCATTTTTATAGGTCTAACGAATATTTGTGATTGTTTTTTTTTACCGGTAAAGGCCCTCGAGTGCCATTTTATCGAGTCAATAGGATTAATTTTAAGGATTTAATGATACCAATGCACAAAACCGAAGTTATTTCCGTTTGCAATTTTAGTAAACTTGTGGATTATTTTTTACTGTATTACCAAATTAATGATAATATAAATGATCGTTTACTCAAATTTTTATTCTCCACTGTTTTATTACGCATACAATAGCCTTGTACAGACGATGTATAATTTTCTTTATACTCATGTTACGTGATAGAACATTTATTATGCATATAATGTGAATAAAATACCGTAATACCTCTAATACTCCATAAATTCATTATTCAGCAGTACAAGACCGAAAAGATAAAGTGAGATTTATTTCAGGATCTTGTTAATTATCGATTGATCTAAACAAGTATTCGTTTTAGAGGTCTATATTTCCGCTGCAAATTGAATCTTGCAGATAAATCGATAATTAATCAAAATAATCAGTACGACTTTTCTCACTTCATCCCTCCACAAATTTTTCCTTCAATTATTTGTTCGAATGTTTACTTTTCTCGTTCATTATCCAAAACCTTGAGGTTGAAAATTACGGAGAAAATAAAGAGATAACTCGTAAACTCAAAGAAATCACATCTATTTACATCGACGAAATATCCTACAAACTTAGAGTATAAACTACAACTCGTACCTGTTGTCATAAAAACCAAACAAAAAAAAAAACACCATCTTAACAAGTAAAAACCACTCGTGGAAAAATATATTATAAAATTCAAAGTAGTAAGATACAAAATAAAAATAACGAATCATTTGATGACTTATACTTAAAATAATCTGGCACATAAACGTAAAAATCCATTGTATCAGTAATAGGCGAAAAAACTTCCCACAGATAAAAAAAACGCCCAAAGCCGATGTCCCTTACCACGAAAGATATTCCATATGTCCATAAAAAATGGTTTCCTCCAAAATTGTATAATTGTCCCCCTATTTTCTATGTTTTTCCCTCCATTAGCGTAAAAAAATCATCCTAGGCAATTCCCAATTGACATAAAATTCGAGGATTCTGGTTCCATAGTGAAAATTACTGTACAAAAGATAAATCCTTTGCATCCTGATCGCATCTGATTTGATTAACAGTAGGCGTCATATACCTATGGAATATATTAATAAAATATATTTAAAAATCAAACGTTATATTCACGTATTATAGATCTCTTAGGATAGAAGCGCTTCCAGCTACCAGAGCTGTCCCAGCAGCCTAATATCTAAACGTAAAATATAGTTATATATCGTTATATCATATTTCCCGACAATGTATACTCTATATTCTTTCAAAGGTTTATTTTTTTTCAGCAGGTATAGCGTTTCGTTTGAGGTAGACCATGTCAGCCAACTATGCTCGAGAGGAAATCCTACTCTAAATTAATGCAATCACTTTTTAAATATCACCCAGAGTGCATTAAGAATTTTTTCAATAAACATTTCGATTCTTCAATTTTTTTTCCCCGTTTATCAAATATTCCGCCTTCCATTACGTTTCAAATAGTAAAATTTTAAATGACTCTGAAGAGATGAGAAAACAATAATTAAAAAATTAAACTCTTAATTTGTCAACGATAACTACGAAAATATATCGCTGTGTGCACGGTTAGACTGTCTTTCGTTCTCTGCATTCCACAATCGATGTGTGAGGAACAATCTAACAAATCTGTACTAAAAGTCGTCAATACCCCCATCAGCAACTCCAGATTTCACTTTGTCAAGGACTTTATTGACGAAATCAGTTGAGTGACTTGCTATACGAACTTCTGAAACAAAAGCATTACCCTCTTCACGAAAAGATGAAAATATTATAAAATACTTTCATTTTAGTGTGGATATTCCCAGGGCGATACTCACTTGTTGCTGATTTGACGATTTTATCCATTTGCCGAGTGAGGTCTTCCTGGTTCTCTACATTTGGATCGGCCAGTTTTTTAGCTAGGGTGCCCTTCATCTGCGCAATCCCTTGAATGAGACGTTCTGAAGAACAAAAAAATATTTTTTAATATAAAACCAATGGAAAATGGAGAGTAACCAGTGAATTCCCCTCAAGTTCTGAGATTTTCATATGAATAAAAAAATACTGACTGTGTTCCTGTTCAAGTCCGTGTAATTTAATTTTATTCGCCTCATGCTGTGCCTTCTTCTTCAGCCGACAAGCCCTGGAGGCCAATTTATTCTTCTCCTTCCTTGTTTTCGGTCTAGCAGTGAATGGCAACTCTGAGACTGGTGTCATGTCATTGATAACCCGAGCTAACTTATCCAACTCTCGTCCAATGCTGTACAATTTCCTGGGATTCGGTGTGAGGTCGTTTCCATCGCCCTTTCTAGCTTTTCCACTGTGTTTTATTCCCCTGAGTGCACACTGGGGACTGAAAACAGGGTCATGCGGCTGATTGAGGATATGTGGATTCTCCAGACGAGCACGTGCCACCAGTCTTTGGCCTTTGGGTCCTTTGGCTTGCACGTTATACTGCCAGAAATACTTCTCCTCCTTGCTAGATTTCGGTTTACGCCCCTCGCTGCTCCCTTTAATACTGCCTTGATCCTCTCCATCACTTCCCCCACTCTCATTGTCACTGGTGTAATCGGAGTAACGATCACTATCATAATCAGTGTCGTCATAATCCTCGTCATGACTGAGGGGCTCGATCTGTCCCAGGCCCTCTATATGCACCGGAGGATCTGGACTTAGTGCGGATCCAGTACTGAGACTGCTGGTAGAACCTGCCTCGACAACTCCAGTGCTACTGGTGCTGACAAGATGTTCACGAGGCTCTCGTCTCGCCCACAATTGGTCCAGACCCATCGATTGGGCTGGAGCGGACGTCGAGATCCAAGAGGACTTTACACGAGTTGCACCTGTCTCCATCGGGGAGGATGTGTCCATCGGATTGCAGGTAGACACATTCTCAGCCTTTCTCATGAGAAGCTCATGTAGGGTCGACTGGGCTGTGGGTCTCACGATCGGATGAGGAGATATCGATGAACTTGCGGTTGAACTCCCTGCAAAATTACTGGTACTCGGACTGGGATATGCAGGTGGGCTGACAGCCTCGAGATTATCAATGATTCCAATGCCATTGTAGCTGAATGCCGAGGTAGTAGTGTAAGGAGTGTAATTTCTGTAAGAAATAGCGGACTGCGGACAACTGCCGGGTGTAAAATTAGTGAGTCCTCCACTGAACAAAGTGCCACCAGTCTCGATGATTGTATCAGCCCTGAAAGGTTGTAGTCGATCGTCAGGAGGAGGCAGAATTAGATCATCAAAATTGAGATCACCCAGAAGTATATCGTCACTGCAATTGAGTTCAGCCAAAGTCGGTGACTGAATCAAATCCGCTTTATCCACTTGAAAAATATCATCATCCTCCATGGGATATCCAATATCCACCGGATCCGAATCATTTCTGTTCTGCAGCTCATCCTGATCTGTTCTAGTCCCCCATATGGGTAGAACACCAATCGGTGAAGGAGACAATTGATCATATCCACCACGAGTTCCCCGATGTCCTCCAGGAATTGGAACCGAAGCCGAGGCCAATCCCATCTCCAAACCCTGGACTGGTTCCTGCTTCACCAGTGTATCCATTGCATTAATTCCAAATTCAAACAAATATTCGGAAAAATTTGAATCCCCCATTGTCCCTCACTCCTACCACAATTCCACTATTTAAATTTCTCTCTGTTCACCTCGATAAATAAATCGACAAATTGAAAGCCAATCGAATCAATTATCTTGACAAATAAGGGATGATAAAATATCAAAAACCACCACCACTCATGAACAGAGACAAGAACAAAGGGGCTGTCATCACTCGACTGCGTTAAAACCACAAGGTGTAAACAAAGCCCGACGACTGTCAATAATACAAATGGTGGCTCCCAACGAGTCTGACAATCTCAAAATACACGGACACGTGCTGCTGTGATTGCAACATGCAGTATCAATCGACGCGTGGGAGTGCAAAAGCTACGATTTCCATCGTTTATCTGTCACTTGAAGTCTCATTTTCCTCATTCACTCCACCGCGTGCTAACGAAATCCTCAATGTTTTTGTTATTCTCCTTGATATTTGGTCGTGTCTTCTCCACTTGTTCGCCTGTTCGATGAGCTCGATAGAACTAAAATGGTAGCGCCTATGGCGGTGGGGGATAACGCCTATCTTTGTTGTTTTTTTCGGGTAGATCCGACAAAATATTCACAACGTGGAGGAATAAAAAGATGTAATCGATCGGAGTTACTACTGCTTTGTGGGTCACATATTGTGGCCCTTTGACAATGCACGATGTCTACGTATGATGACCATGACTTTCATCAATGGATGTTTTCATATCTCACTAATAAATAAATGTATCCTTGGCTCTCCTCAACGCTCGTCTCGACAAATTGATTTCTCACAATCTCGCAATCACTGGATTAGTCACAATTCCACGGGAAGCTATATGGCGATGATTTTTTCTTTTTTTTTTACTTTGAGATGTTTTTGTGAAAGAGTTAGCACGAGATAGTCGAATGTCTGTTGTTGTTTTGCCACGAGATTCTTGGGAATAATAATATTCCCCTCTGGCGAGGTTTTGCATAAATGGGGAAAAGGTCACATGAGCGGGAGAAGTGGCTCTTGGCGATCAATGGCTGATGGACTTTCTGGAATTGACCAATCAGAGTGCAAGGTGACAGACAACATCCGATTTTGGTACAGTTTGTGTGGACTACAGTGTGTTTCATTGTTAATTGAGAAAGATATTTTGTTTTTCTAGTGATCTTGCAGGTTATAGAAATGATGACAGCCGACCCGGAAATTCCGGAGATGCGATAACAACGTTTAAACAAAAAACAATTTAATTACTGTGGAGGGGTGATTATTGGGGGTGATAATGGCGGCTTTTACTAACGTTCTGAAGGCTATTGAATTATTGAATGCTCTGCAGGTGGGACAGGGAGGTCTCGATCCACTTGCCAGGTAAATCACACTTGCTTCAACTTTCAAACTTCACCCACAAGCCTTCATTTACGCGTCAGTCATCACTTCATGTTTTTTAATTTTTCGTGAAGCCTTCCGGGACAGATATATAATGACAAAGAAGTCATCCTTTAAATCATCAAAATATTTTTCATGGAAAAATTCTTGGCTTCTCTTCTCTTTCCTTTTCCGAATGATGTTGTAATTCATTATTTCTTGTACGATTTTTTTAGAATAAAACTCACGAGCTCATTCAAATTAATATTTTTTGATCGTTATTTTTTTGGACTGCTATTTATTGAATGCGCAGAAAATTTTCTTTTATATTCGAAGATATTTTCGTTAATAAAATGAAATTGATCATTGAATCCCCAACCATTAATATCCTCTCCTAGGAGGACTGAAAAAATGACATGCTGCACGACGATAGTCAACGGCATGTCATCCCCGCTGGTAAAAACAACGAAAAATTACGCTCAGGTGCTGGGGTTGTCGATAAAAATTCTGTTGTCCCTTTGCGACGACGAGGAATCGGATGTGAGGATGATAGCCGACGAGTGTCTGAACAGAATAATAAGATCGACATCAGACGGGAATGTCTTAAAAATTCAATTCGAGCTGTACAACGAGATCCACAGGAACGCAAGCTCTAGGTCTCTGAGGGCAGCTCTGAAGCGTTTTGGTTTACTGAGCCACACGATAAGACCAATAAAAGGGAAGGCCTACATCTCCAACCTGATTCCCTCGATCGTGGCCATCTCAAAGAGGCCAGAGGAGGAAGTTATCGACACTCTGGCGCAATCCCTTCCCCTGATCCTTAAGACCCTGGGCCCTTTTATGACAGACAAGGATGCAAAAGTCTTGTTGAAGGCCTTCTATCCAAATCTCAGCTCTCCCCAAGCTGTCTTCAGAAGAAATGCTGGTAACATGATCTTGGCCACGTGCCTGCACTGCAGGAAGCCCAGGATATTCCTTTTCTACGCCCTCAGACACTTGATCGACACTATGATATCTGTCAATAGAGTCGATGAAAATCTTCATCTGGTTGTTGGCATCCTTGGTTGCATCAGAATTATGCTGCCCCACGTTGACCAGAGCCAGGAGACCGATCACGAGACCGACGCCCACAAGCTCGACTGCCTCATTCAGGTTTATGAACTCTCATTGAGATATATCCAGTGTCACTCTGATCACAATGTTGTCAATGCCGCCCTGGAAACGCTAGTTCAACTTCTGCGGTCTCCTAATGATGAATTTGTGGGACAATTGACTTCGAAGAGTGGCATCTCTGGGGGCAGCAGAATTGTCTCATTCCAGAGAACCTTGAGAATGTCATCTAGTGATTCCACGGAGACTGAAGAGACCAAAAAAGAGAGGTGCGCAGCGATCGACGCTGATAGTGGAATTGTCACATTGGATTTGAACAACACGAAAGAATCGATTCACTGCCATGACCTCTCAAATAAATCTTCCTCTGATTCTCAATCATCAAATGAAGGAAAAATACGAGAGACTACTAAATTGAGCATTGGAAGCTCATCTGATGTAGACGTGCCTTTGAAATACTGCTGTCGTTATTTATCCGCGTCTTTCCTGCTGGCAGGAAGACCCAACGAATTAATCTCAGACAAGCAATTTCGAGTTTCCGTGAAATCTCTGACACTGACCTGCATCGGAGGTATCATCAGGCTCTACCCCAACGTCCTTCTCCACACCCTGGAAAATTGCCCAGGTCCCCATCCCCAGATGATCTCAGATATTCTCCTATTCTCAAAGCACCCAGACCCTCAACTGAGAGGCAACGTAGCTGTCATCATAGGACTATTCCTGAATTCAGTTTTCGTGAAGTACTGGGGATCCTATAAATCTCTGGAGCTTGATATCCAACAAACTGAGGGAAAAATAATAGAATTAGCCAATCTAGTTGACCTCTTGATTAATTCTCTGGAGGACGAATCTGCAACGACATGTCGCCAGGCCCTGCAATCCCTGGAGATCTGTTTGACGTCACTCCTCCAGTCAGAAGAAAGTCACCAATCCCTGCGGATGCTTTTCAAGCTGCTCCCACTGTCAGACAATCCTTACTTCCTGGTTAAGATGAATCTCTCGAAAGTCTTGAGTGAACTCCCATTCATCACCATTAAATACCTGACGACCTCCTCCTCCTTCCAGACAGACGTAACCCTGATTCTAGTCAAACTCTTGGGTGATCAGGACCCAAGGGTTCGTAATGCAGTATCAAAGGCCCTCGTCAAGTTCATCGCCACATCGTACTACCAGTCCCCCCACGAGGACGAATTCACCAGGAGGACCTCTCAATACATCGAGCAGTACCTCAACCCTCTCATCACTATCAATGTCGACGCTAGAACTTACCAACTGGATCAAAAGTTCTTTGTTAATAGTCTCGTGGAGCCCTTTCTCTCCTTCTACACAGAACTCAGAAGACCTAACATAATTCGAGATAATTCTGAGGACTCTTTATCGATAATTGTTGCTCTCCTAGTGGAGAACCTCTTCACCCACCCTTCCAGACATTTATCCTACGGCTGTTTCGAGGCTCTGAGTAACCTCAGCCAATCATACCCTACAACTCTCTATCCAGACGCCTGGGACTGTCGCCTGGCCAAGGGGCTGATAAAAAAAACCACGAAAATTCACTCCAGCAACAAGAGCATCACCAGCGAGTGCAACATCGACTTCCCCTCGGGGACAGACCACCTGTCCCCCACTGGAATTCAATTATTATCATTAACGATATCTCTACTATCCTCTGATGCAGTGGCCCTTGACCTCCTCACTCACAAGCATATGATCACCCTAGCAGGGAATTTGATGTGCGGAATTTCCCTGAGGAACCTCAAATCGATCGATCTAACCGAAAAAAATGATAATATTTCGAAAATGTGGGGATTGTTCGAGGACAAGGAGACGAATCGTCACCTGGAGCTGCTGTTCCTCCACGTCATGAGGTTGATAAATATATTTGTTCACGTGATCGATGGGCTGCAGGTGGCAAGTGCCAGTGGAAAGTCTGGACTCCCATCGCTCCCAACTGCTCAGTCCCTCTCCCCGAGGAAGAGAATGAACCAGGAGTATAAACCGAGAGAGAGGAAAGAAAATGTTCTCACCAATTCCTTCAGAGCAGCGAAAGAACCCATTGGTGCCTTCAGCAACTTACCGCACTATATGAGACTCCACGACATTCTGAAAGCAGCTCACATGAACTACATGTCAGCTCTGGACGTCGACGCCAGTCAGATGTACCTTGGGCTCCTGGACTCCACTCTTCAGGTCCTCTCCCAGATCCTGGACGTGGCGAGCACTTTTGAAGCGAGAAAAATAGCCGAGGAAGTCCTTCATTATCTGGAGACAACCCTGGCCCTCTCTCCAACGAAGACAGTCCAGTGTGTTCGACAGCTGCTTAAATCATTATTTGGGACGAATCTCTCTGCTCGGTGGGACGAGCTCGAGGACCTCAGGAGTCCTGACGACAGGCTGAAAAATCCTGACGACTCCAGAAGGGGATTATACGATCGTTGCTTCCAGAAACCTGGGAGACAGATGGCCGATGTCATCAAATCAATTGGCAACAACTCCTGGAGCAATGAGAACGAGTTGAAGAGATCATCATCGAGTTCTTCGTTCAATCGAAGGGACTCTGAACGAAAAATGGTCCTGGCTTTTAAGTCCTTCGCCAGGACGAGCAATCAAAAGGCATTCTTCGTGTCTTTTATCCGAATTTTCGAGACGATGGTAATTAAATCGTTGAATCAGTACACCACCACCAGCTCGGTGTCATGTCAATGTCAAGTATTGAGTTTGTTGTCACAACTTGTCCAGTTTCACGTGAACTATTGCCTCCTGGACACTGACAAGACCTTCATAGACTTCGTTTTGGGCCAGTTTCCATTTATCGAAGAGTCTCAAATTTCCCAGGTGCAGCTCCTGCTGCCAAAAATTTTCGGTTTTCTGGTGCACCTGTCGTACGAAAAATTCCACTCTAAGATGATAATCGATATCAGAGAGATAATTAAATTATGTGATGGACTGATGGCAAGTGGGCAGCCACCAACGACCCACTGTATTCCGGCTTTAGTTCCTGTGGTGGAGGATATTTTCCTGGCGAGGTCCTCAGCTTCAAAAACACCAGGTGAAAAAGCTGAACTCGACACCACCAGGGAGTACCTCATGTCGATGCTTTTGCGACTCGTCGAGCATCACACTGTCATCGAACTCCTCTCTCAGTGTCTCTCGGAGTGTCGTAGTGATGAGGACGGTGAGGAGAAGTGGAGGAAGTGGTCCAGGATGACGATAGACGCTGTTCTACCTGCTCTGGTGTCTGGGAAAATCAGGATCGAGTCAGAGTCAGCTGGAGTTGCTGTCATCAAGTTATTCTCAAATGTCTCTCCGAGTTGCTTCAGACCTGTCGACCCCCTCCTGAAAATACTTTTCACAGTTCCTCCAGGACTCAACGAATCCAGAATTAAGCTGGAGAGGTGGCTCGGAATGGTGAACATCGTTTTGCTGTCTCTCATTGCTTATGCCAAAGAAGAGGCCATGTTATCGAGACTGGCAGAGCTCAGTGTCTTCATGACTGAACTCGTTCACACCCTCGATCTGCCTGACACCTTCACCATCTACGACACAGCAGATCCCCTGAATGCCACCAACATCGAATCTTGCTCACTACCCCCTGAGAGAATAATCGCAATTTTTGTCTTCAGAGTTATTTTTCTGGCCTCTTCAAAAATCTGTTTAACCCTGAATTCCGTTGAACATCGGGATAATCTCCTCCACAACAGACAGGGCATCTATCTTCTCCAGGAACTCGCATTTTTCCTTCAATTATGCATTCACATGTTCGAGTCTGGGAGTCATTGCAAAGTCGCTAACGCCACGATACAAATGCTGAATGACGAAGATTTGATTCCAATTGAGAAGCTCAACTCTCTGATGCTCGAGATTTCCGTAAAAAATTGTCCGATATTGACGACCCACTGGACGTACCTGATGACTCTCTTAGGATACAGCAGCCAGAAATTCTGGTCCAAGACATTGGGATCGAAAAATCGGAATTTATTCCCAAGGAAGGAAGAGAAGACCATCAATATCGACACAAAAATCGTGAGACAATCAGCCACGATTCTCTTCTGTGATCACATCTGTGAAAATATGAATGACACTGAGTCCCTGACGTGGCTGGTGATGAATCACATCGAGGAGACGATGAATCTGGTTAATGAGCCACCTGTTCGTGAGCTGGGAACAGCTACAGTCCACAGAAAACCAGCAGCAAGTGGTCTTCTCATCCAGGCAATTGCAGCCAGATGTTTGGATTTATCGAAGCCTTCATTTGTCAAGAAATTACTGAAAACTCTGGAGAGTGCACATGAGGCCCAAAGTGGTGCCGTCATCCTGGCTCTGATCCCACGATTTATATCGTTAATCCATCTGGCACTCGCCAAAACAGCTTCTAGAATAGCATGTAAGAGAGTTGAGTTTCTTCTGTCTCTGCCCGAGGAAGAGGTGCTGCGCCAGTTGCCCAAGGAGGACCTCCTGAAGCTGATGGAAATCCTTCAGTCCGCCAGGCTCGTTAAAAAACATGGAGTCCTAGTGGGACTGATCAATAACCTTGCCAGCAGATTCTACGACATCTCTCCCCTGGAGCTGGAGCACTGCAGACCTTTCAATCCCTCAACCGTGCAAAATATTCTCCTCGATAGATCCTGGTTTCTCTCCCAAGTGAGATTAAAGTGCTGCAAACCCACGAGCAATTCCCCAGATTCGTCAGAAGCCGCTGAACTCCTCAGCAATCTAGACCTGGAGGACTGCGACGATATCTTCATGTCCAAGAACTTCGATCTCAGAATCCTCACAGAGTGCATCAAACTGGGTATGAGGCTCACTCACGAGGAGAACACTAGGAGAACTGCTTTCGTCAGGACCACAGATTTCACAATTCCAAACCATCAAGTATCCCCAGATGACAAAAATTCCGAGTGTCTGTCATTTTTATATCAATCCTCTCGTCAATGTCTCTTGATTCACGTAAAAAGCATCATCGATCTCCTCCCAAAACCCCACATTGTCTACGATCCCTGGGTGAAGGTGCCAAAGCACGAAGACACCAAGAGGACGAGAACCACAAAGTACTCGTCGAAATTTCGTGCCCTAATGGAGGACCAGATGTACTGGGACAGAGTATTCACCCTCATTCCTGCAGTGACAGCGTACCTCGAGGCCCTCAGAGAATTCAACACTCGAGGAATTGTCTGCAACACCCCACGGTTCGACGAGGAAGATCTGTCCAAGTTCGCAGTTCTCTGTCTCGAGATAATTCACTGGATGACATTTACGAGATCAGTGAAGCCCCAGGAACTGGAGCTCGCTCTGACGTGTGCCACGGAGCTTTTGAAGAATGAGAGAATTTCTAAGATATTTGGAAGTGAAAGCCACTACACCTGGGTCTGCTCAGCCTCGAACACTCTGACAAAGCTCCTGGAGTATTGGCTATCCCCGAAGGATTCCTTTGAATTTAGTCTCCCACGTGTGGAGGATCGTGGCCTCTCCCAAGCCCTGAGGACTGATTCAACGAGATTCTATGCCCAGGCCTGCCTCCAGATGGCAGGGCTGATCGCCTGGCTGGAGAAAACCGACAACTCCTCTCGAAATAATGCTGTGGACATCCCCAGCTTCATCAAAGACCCTGTAACATCTTTAATCATTATAATCAGCAGGCATGACCTGGTGAATTCATTTGTACTGACGCCTCCCCTCGTCTGGAAGCACGGATGGATGATCGAGGGCTCTGGGCCCACCCTCTGCCACTTTCCCCTGCTCCTCTCCACAGCTGACTCCAATTTCCTCCAGGAGCTGGACGTCCTCCGACAGTTTGTCTACAGGATAACCCTCCTGGGATGGACATCGCGTCTCCAATTCGAGGAGATCTGGATGGCTTTGCTATCAGTGCTCAGTGCAGCATCAACTGAGAATGAGTCCCCAGGGCAATCGGAGGGGAGTAGTGTCCAGTCAACGACTCTAGCAGTCCAGGGAATCACAAGACTACTCACCCAAACGCTGATGCTCCCTCATCCAGGAAATCCTGTCAACAGCATTGCCATGCACCACTGCAGAGATCCACCCCTTTCTCTCCAGAAACCAGCATCCCAAAGACTTTACACTGTCCAGGATCTGTTATCCTGGAAGTACCAGTACTCGAGGAATTCCAGAATTACCAAAGACAGTTTTGTGAACTCGGGTGTTGATTCCCTCGGTCTAGAGCACTTATTCACCAGAGGAAATATCGAGAGGGAGGGCTTGACCACTGGCTTCGACGAGTTATCCTACAGTCAACTCTCGGTCTCATACCTCTGGGCCTCGTGCTCACTCCACGAGGACAAATTATCAGCCTCTGTATTGATGCTCAAAGAAACGAGAAATCAAGCACTGTCGTCAAATTGCCTAGATCTCGACTCCTGCATCAGGTTTTTGATTGAATTGTACACAAGATGGTTGGCACCTTCATCAGGATCCACCCTGAGGCTTCTCAATGAGGTCGTCAGAAGCATCATCTCGATATCAGATCTCTTCGTCGAGAGGGGACAGTTCCAGTGGATGTTCGACACTTGTTCTGAGATCGTGAAGTACCACACGATCGACGACGATATTCTCCATCACACCCTGGTCTTTGCTGTTTGCAAATCAGCTGCTGTCCTGGCACCCCTGGACATCGAGAGCCTGGAGAAGGTAAAGAGAGCTGTGGAGAATGGACTGAGAACGAGTTACCTTCCAGGAAGAATAGCCAGTCTCCACGGAATTTTATTTCTTCTTCAGTGCGCGGTTCAGGCGAATTGCGAGGAGACGATGAATGTCGTTCATCCCCTGGCTATTAAATATATTCATAAACACATTGAGGGGAGAGGAAATGTCGAGGACCACAGCGAGGAGCACCAGAGGACCATGTGGGCTTTAGTGTTCTTTCTCCTGGAACATGCTGAGGATACTCCACCTGATTCCGAAGCTCCAGCTGTCCTGGAATTGGCACTGGCTCTCGTCACCTCTGGAAATATCTCTATAGCGATGAACAGGACTATTCTCCAGGGTCTAGAGAGACTTGTGGCTGCCAAGAGTGTCGTTGGGAGAGTCGCTGATCAGATTGTAAAGGTCTCTCTCGAGAGACTCAAGAACTCTTGTCCACTGGTGGCTATTCCTGCACTCAGGTTACTACTCACTTGTATGTATTCGGAAGCTGCTGACAGGTTCAACAGGACTGCTATTGTCAAGGAGGAACAGCCCCTCCCGGACATCGAGCCTGAGGCCCTCATGAGGACCATCGAGAGGACTTCTGCTATTTTTGATAGAATCAAAAGGGGACAGAGCATGGAAGTGAAGATTCTGTGTGCTGTTCTCTCGGAAATTCTTGGAGATTTCTTCCCTCCTTTTGAGACACTCACGAAAGTCATTGGGGAGTTCTTGGCACCACAGCAGCCACATCAAAGACTCGTGTCTGGAGTTGTCTTCAAAGTTTGTGAGAGAGTCACTGGCACTGACGATCAATTGACTCTTCTTCAGGACTGGGTTGTCTTCAGCCTGTCGACTTTTATCCAGAGTTTACCATTAGTTACCTCCACTTGGTGCCTGTCGTGCTTCTTCGTTAGTGCTTCCACAAATAAATGGCTCAGAGCCCTGTATCCTTTCTTTATTAAAAAAAAAAGCATGGACTGAAAAATGTCATGGCCGAAGGATTATGACCTAGTTTTTTATAATTTCCCGAAATCCAGTCACCATTTTGCCAACACAACTACCATTTTCTCCAGTTTTTCCTGAACCGAAAAATAATCTCCAGGTTTCCACACGTACAATCTAGAATGGGAAAATATGAATATGAGGACAAGAAGATAATGTGCATCGCTGCTGCAGATTTTTATAAGAAGGTTCGTACACAGAATGAAATTATAACTGCATTCTATATTATCAATTATTTCCATTAAATATTCTTTAAAAAAAAAAACAATGAACAGACGATTGCAGATATATTTCATAAAACTGGAATTGATTGCACAATTGTTCTTCAAAATTTTACAAGTTTACTAATTAACATATTATTACAATAATTAGATTAATTGTGAACAAATAATCGAATTCAAGATTGCGTTCAATGAATTTGTGATTTTGTAGCTATCGAGTGAATCGCAGAGGGAAGCTTTTCTGAAGAGTTTCGAAGCCGCTGGAAAAGAGCCGGGCTCGCCCTTCTGCGACATCATAACGACCTTCAAGTACTGAAATAATCTGAAGCCAAAGCCAAATTTGTCGTGTATATAAGAAAAATTTATTGTACCCGTGTAAATCAATCCAATGATATTATTTATTCTATCGGTGATTAGAAACTATTTTTCCGACTCGCTGTTTTTTAATAACGTTGCTTCATCCTTTCATATCTCCTTTTCTCCCTCTGCATCTTCCTGTAGTAGAGGAAACAGCGTAAAGTTGCGAAGTAGAAGATCTCCACGAAGGAGAGAATACTCGCACCGAGTACTAGTCCTGCAGCACCTCCAACGGCTGCTAGGAAGTCGATGAAACCGAAAACTTGCTCGTGAATATACTTGTCCTTTGGGAATTGGAAGCTCACCTCTGCTGTCACCTCCTTCGGGGTCCTTTCGCCCCTATAAAATCGACAAATTCCATAATCCATCAATGATAAGAATTAACACGAATTTCAGCTGTCAATTTTTGTTTTTGGAAATTTCTTTTAAATGGAGGAATGAATAATCCCGAATTTCGAAGAATTGACGGTAGAAATTCTATAATTTTCAAAATCTTATGGCCTGTTTTGTGGACCAAAATCCACTCGTAATTCCAGTGATTACAAAATATATTCAGTGAATCGGTCGTCGGTGTAGCGGACGTAGTGACAGTCAGGTAAACACCCGCATTCCGCTGCTCCTCCGATGTCATCTTTCAATATGGATTTCTGGTTTTCGGCTACACATCGCAATTGTGCTAGATCACATGTTGGTATTCCAGCTGGAGAGATGACAAGATTAGCTAATTAGCCAGTCAATTATTTTTCCCAAATAAATTTATTCGAGGGACAATAGAAAAAAAATTGAAATAAAAAAAAATCGAGCTCACAATTCGACACAAAAGTCAATGTTTGGATCTAAATAAAATTTGAACTTGAGTTAAATGAAATTCCAGTGAATTATGAGAGAAACCTACGGAGAGGTCTTGCAAAGTGGTGATGGCACCCACAGAATTTAAACATTCTGCTGTACGTGCATTCCCTCTTGCACATGGCAGATGTGTAGACGGGCCACATCTTGAGTTTATGCTCATCAGGGAACTTGCAATTCCTCTGTGTGAATGAGAGTGATCTGAGTTCACTGGAGGGTTCAACTTCCTCGAAGTTCACCACGAGTTCTGTTTTCCACTGGAATTTCGCACCGTAGATGGTTCTGGAGAAGTCCACAATGTTGCCAGGATGAGCTAAGCTGAACTAAAATATTTATACAATAAAATTTTGCGATTGATAAATTATGCTTGGAATATTCCTGAACTCCTTACGAATACATCATGACTCTTCGCATGAAATGATAAGCGCATGGTTTTGCTCAAGTGTTGAAAATATTGCATGGTCGCAGGCTCTGGAATTACAGTCCAGTTGTCCTTCATCCAATACCTCGAATACAGAAAGCAGAATAAATAAATTTCTTAACAAAAATTACAACGACGTTTTAATGTAATTATTTTACTCGAAATTCGAATAGGGCGCAGCGTAACTGTAGAAACTGTGGCAAAATCCATGACTCGTAATGACCCACAAGGGCTCCTCCTGAACATTTGGATACTCAATCTCAAGTTTCAAATCGTGAAGAATTGACAGCCACTCGGTGGAGGGAACACTGACAGATTGTGGAGTCGACCTGGTGTATGTATATGGCTCTCTAGAAATTACTGTAAAAAAATCTCTCATCTCTGGTGTGTCTTCAATTCCGTATCTAAATGAGAATAAAAATGTGGAATATTTTAACTAAAAATAAAAATATACAGCCCATTAAAAATATAAACAGTGAATCTGGCATTGATAAAAAATTCAGACATCAGGGGTAAATAAACCAAAAAGTACATAAATATTTTCACATTTAAAATACATAGATTTGATGAATTTATTCGTACGATTTTCCCAGTGCGCGTATTTACTTTTGAAAAACTTCAGGAAACTTCGTATCATCGACTCCCTTCTTCGAGCACATGACAAGTGCGGGTTGAGCAACTTTGTAATTATGGAATGCATGATTGAGGACTATCACTGTGGAGTGGTGGAGGTACTCCTGCCAGAAATGAAGGGAAAGATAAACCAACGCCATCAAGGACATCATGATAACCCCCGCTGCGCCAATCCTGGGATTATTTGATTTATAATTAAACTCGTAAAAATGGTTCATGACTCTGGAACCGCCTATTATTTAATAAGAATTTTTTTTCCTCAATTTACCGTTCGAAGATGTGTCTCTGAGGCGCAACCAAATGCCTTATCCCATGAAGAGTTGCATTATTCACATATTCAATTAAATATGCCTTCCAACCAGTTGCTTGAATTCTCTTGATTTCGTTACTCGATTGGAGGGAAGGCCGCACAGATTTTTTCTCTTCCACTCCATAAGTTAATTCTCTTATGTAGAAAAGTGGCGGCTCTTCAGGAACTTTCTTTCTGGCTTTGATCTCAATGTCCCTCCCCAACATTCCGAATTATATTTTATTTATTTATAATTTCTCCTGCGCTGATAGATCCCACACGTCTTCACTATCTTTTGATCATCTATTTTTATAACTTTATTAAATAGTTCATTCGGCGTTTACCTCCTCGAAGTTTCGATTCTAAATGTTTCAAAGTTTTGGCTTTAGTTTCCGATATCGCTGCGAAGAACAGATTTTTCTACTATTCAAATATTCAAAGGTTTCGAATTTTTACGTTTGCGTGGCTCACGCGACAATTTCACACTCGATATTTTTTTTACCGTAAAAACAATCGCGTTGACATGAATCGATCTGTCACTTGCTCATGATTTTTTTAGTGATTTTTACATCAACATTTTTGTGTGAAACATGTTTGGATTCGTTCTCATGAATTGGTGAAAATATCAAGCCGCTGAAATTCTCGCAGAATGCATCGTGAATTCGATGACACCGTAATTAACAATTGAAATAATTAAATAGCCGTCGGGGTAATTAATTCACATTTTTTATCAGGTGCATAATGGATTGAATTATTGCTGCCCCGAGCCTCAGGGTCGACGTCGTGGCCCCAGGGTGAATGCAAGACGAGAATGCAAAGACAGTTTCGACAATTTGAAAAATCATAGTCATCCCTGTGATTTCAAGCAGCAGAATTTTTCCTCGCACGGCTGCCCATTCCAGAGCATCGCGTACATATTTCTTCAATAATTTATGCATTTGCGTTTTATTTTTTAATCGAACTGCTATGAATTTTTCCATAAAATTGTTCACTCGCTTCTTTAATCTATTCTCCCATTGAAATCCCATTCTCCCGATGAAAACCACAGGAAAGACATAAGATTGACGACAGCCTCGGAGCAACAGCTAGAAACTGACGTGCAACCTCGTAAATCTCAAAAGCAAAAGTGTCGAAGTCCATTGACATCTGCACAACACCTGAAACATTCTCCAGAAAATCCCCTGGACCTCTTCAGCCATGATTTCGAGTCAGTTGAGTTTCCCCACTGTATCGAGAGATGTCCAGGAAAATCCCTGGAGAAATCGTCGAAGAAGAAGATGAAAGAAGAAATAATTCACGATTGCACAGATCCAATCGTCGAAGGAGACGTGCTGAGAGTCGACAAGAAACGACATAGGAGAAATATCGAAAAAGGAGGAAAACAGAGAATTCAAAAATGCTTGAACGAGCTGGAAGTCCTCGAGAGCAAGGCCATGCAACAGTTCGAGTGTGAGAAGCGATTCAGTGAACCAGTAAATTTTTTTAATTGAAATTTTTACAACTCAGTTATTCCTCAAAAATTATTTGAATCATTGGTATATATTAGAGGAAGCGGAACCCATTGAGCTCGAAGATGTGTCAGAAGGTGCTGACAGATGACTTGGGTATCGATGCTGAGGATGAGGAGGAGCAGAACAGACGTCTGCAAAGGGACTTAGAGAATATTCCGTTATGTGAACCTTTTGCGTGTCTCAAAAGACGGTCGAGAACCCCGGAGATGACTTCGAGTGCCACTGAGGCTTCCATCACTGGGGATATGGATGGAAGGGCTCAGAGAAACCCCCAGTACGATTGCCAAAACGACAATAAACCTCTCCAGGTACAAATCACAGGACTAGAAATAAAAAGCGACGAATTGACTCGTTCCCGACTCGATATTCGGCAAATTTACTTTAAGGTCTTCTCTCAGTCGATAATTTAATGCAAATGGTGCGATTTTTCTAGCAAACACACGATGATTCAGTCTCAAGCGAAGCCACAGGCTCAGAAAATGATGAGGACCGTGAAGACACCCTTCGGGCTGTACCCCGCGCCGAAAGAAATAATCCTCACTTCATTGATCACCTCAAGGGGTTGCGATTTCGGTATTTGGACCTTATGCAGATGCATCTAGATCATCTCTATGATCTCGAATTATTCATGAAATCTTTAACCTCGGAAAATTCAAAATCTGGGGATCCACGTGGAGAAAAGGGACGAGCTGTTACCCGATCTGGGCTGCGTTAAGGATTTTCATAATTTTGAATGGCAGTGATATTTTTTATATTGTATATTTTATATGGAAACTTTTTCACCAAATTTAACAATAAAAGCGAATATATTAAGTTTACATGTTGAATTTCCAATTGCTTTGGAAGACTCGAATTCTTAACTAAAAATATTTATAAATTCATTTAACAATTCCGGGACTGGAGTAAATACAAATAATTTTTTTTTTAAACAACCATAAAAAATAATAAAAACAGGAAGAATTGTGTAATAATTAAAAACGTTTCCTACCGGAACGAGAATGTAATAAAAAAATAAAATATCACCAATATCCATTTATGAAGGATATGTGGAGAGCGAGATAGGAGCAAATGGGGCAGACTGTTCCATTAACAGTTCACCTTTCATCATTCCATCTGAAAAGAAGTACCAGAAACAAATAAGCAGGTGGATCCCATCAATTAATTACTGCTTACTCTCCAATTGTTGATTAAAAAATCATTTCTCATGTCAGTTAAATTGATAACCAATTGAGAAATTAATAATTGATTGATTTCCAAATATGATGTATTACCCATAGCATAAGAAAGTGCCAGCACGTAGTCCAGTCGACTGACTGATGCTGGTACAACAACTTCATCGAAAGTAGCCCTAAAAACGTCGGGGCCGTTTTTAAGATTCCTGTTTTCGGTCCACTTTGCGGTCAAAGCAGCTCGAAACTCCTTTTTGCTCATTCCGATGACATGAGTGTATGCCTCGCTGTTGTCTTCTGAAATGGTCGACTGACTCGTCTGACCCGCCCTACTACTGCCAATCTCAGATGGTACGAACGTGTAGTCTTCGAGAACTACGGGTTCTTGTGCCACAGCGTTTTCAGGTCCCTCTGAGGGTCTGTGGTGATTTATTATATTTATTCATTTTATATTGCTTTTATATTATTTGTTTTCAATTTCAATTCACTCATAGATCGAGAACTTAAATGACTGAAATAATTGATGAACTTGCCGATAAGTCTCAGGCAGATCCATATCAACCGAATCAGGCAGTAGTAAACGTTCCTGATCAGCATCAGTAAAAACTTCAGGAATGTCGCTCTCTGTGGCATGGCTCCCCTCGGGAACCTCAGAAAGAAGCACACGTCTATTTGATGGTGCAGCTCGAACATTCACCCCTTGCAGTATGTTCTGGATTCTTAGCCACGTATGATTGTCAGCTATTTTTTAATTAAATCGAATAAATAGAATAAACTACATAAGCCCTCAACAAAAAAAAAGAACTGAATTATCGCACTTGGAGGGAAGTCAACTTCTTCATCATTTGGGTCGACCCTCAGAGCGTCTGCGTAGTGCTCAACAAGTACTCTGTTACGAGGCACACGTCCATTGTTTAACCAGGTGGATGCTGGTTCTCTGAACAAGACGAGGGCATCATTCTGGGCCTGATTTATATCAATCTGCAAGTCCGCAATTGGCTGTGGATGGATCAGAAATTCTCATTTGGCTCCAGAATAGTTTTTACTCACTAGACCAAATCCAGTAATGACGGGACTATCTCTCTTCAATTCAGAGATATTTTTCGAGCATTCAGAAATGATCAGTAGGAATAATAAAAAAATATTATAATACTATATTCCTTCTTACCACTGTGTCAATGTGAATATTAGTCACACGATTGATCAGAGTCCTTGCAGCCACTTGAATGGGTTTTCGCCGTTGACCTCTTGGCTGTGGCGGTCGTGGTGGAAGTGGTGAGCCTGCATGTGGGATTGATATTTCTTGGGGCTCCGGTAATGCTTCAATGTGAACTTGCTCTGGTGCTATGGGTTCTCCATTCTCATCTTGAGCGGCCAGATAGATATCAGGCAATGGAACAGCATTGGAGAAGCCTTCAGGCTCAATAGCAGGTTCACTACGAGTTTCTGCAAGGGACGGTGGCTCAGAGATGCCAATTTGCTCGTTCAAATCCCTCAGCTGAAAAAAACAGTAGATCAATGCAGTTGTGAATTAAAAGAATATTTTTTTTCTATTGTCTTCAAAAAATTGAATACTCGTGAACGTTTGCTGGGTGTCACTGGTGGTGGAGAGTCGTGATCTCCTGCAGCTGGAGCCTTCCTCTTAGATGTACTTGGGGCGATGCAGCTCTGGCTTTTGCCCTGCCTCAACCGTTCCTCCTGCTTCTGTATTGCTGCCATCCAGTCGTTACTGGTGTAGATCTCCAGGTCCTCTGTGCTCAGAGGCCCAAAATCCAAGGCATTGCTCGTGCTCACAGATATCTTGTCGACCTCGTCGATTTGGAATATGTCTGTTGGAGCGATGTGGGGCAGATGGGGACCAAACACAGGGGCAATGACTGAGGGTGGCTCCAGGGAGATTGCAGGTAGATTCCATGGCTCTTTCATCTTCTGGAGATCTGGGTCTTCAGTGCTCGCTTTGAGAAATCTCTCGATTTTAGCTGGAAATTCAGGGGAAACTCTCGGATGAATGAACAATATCAAGGAATCCATTGTGTAAAGAAATGTTATGCTTAATTTTTTTATTGAAAACTGACCAATTCCATGGTCAAGAGTGTAAATTCTCAATTTCAGGGTTCCCTTGATAAGATTTTTCGCCAAATACCAGGGGATGGCATCTTCAGGCTGGGGATGCTGGGAAGAGACACGATTTGCCACTTCGTTTCTATCATGATAAACGAAAAATCGATCAACAATTATTACTCAATTTTGGACCTCAGGAACTTACATCACTGCATTACAGCCAATGTCCATGTAATTTCTGTATTCCTTTTGGAACTGTTTTTTGGTAAGGATTTCTGCCAAATAACAGGCCTTGGCATCCTCTCTGATTTCTTCATCCACGTCCTGAAGAGCTGGAGGAATAGGGTGTTTTTCTCTGCGAGGGGGCATTATCTCAATATGCTCCTCGAAGATCGATTTATTTAAATATTTTCAGGTGATGATTATTTTTAAATGTAAAATCAGGATTTCGACGAACAAGAGGCTCTAAGATACGAAAATCAACTCAACCAAATACTGTTTCTTGATCCGAAACGTAATGAGATCTATCCGAACCGCTCTGATATTTGAAAATGACTTTGATTTCTAACGGCTTTTTTTGAAAATAGCTTCTTACATGATCTCAAAGAGCTCGCTATATTCCGGGCAAAACCGGAAGTGCGACTTTGCTGATCAAACCTAAATTTCAATAGAATATAAACTATACCTGATCAATAAAAATATTAAATATATGATTCAAATATATCATTGAATGTATTTCTGCATTAAATGTTGCTTTAGTTGCGAAATCATTCGAAACTTGTCACTCAAACCTCCAGAACTGATCCTCTACCTTAGTCAATCGTCTTTGTCCAGACACAACCCCAATTTTCAAGTTTTTATGAAAGGGCGTCAAAGGAAAATCATTAGGGATGAGAGGGTAAAACAGCCCTTTTACTTTTTGGAAGAGAATGTGAGATTTTAATTTCTCTATTTTTCTCCAAGTACAAAAAAATTTTTTTTCAAGTCAATTTCAAGTCAGCCAAAAGGCTATTTTATCCTCACCTCTCCTAGACCATTAAGAAAACTATATAAATAATTATTATACAATATTTCGTAAAATACAATTGATCAATCGAATTAATGAGTTCCATCAGGTCTCGAGCGTCCTTGAACTTTCGGCATTTTCTTGTTGGTGGAATCCTCCAATTCTCGTGGTTTATAATAGTGAGGAGCGACTTCCAACAGCCATTTGCTCTCGATTTCTGTAACTGATCTCATAAACTCTTTAGTTGTGAAAACGAGCTCATGGTACAGGAGCCACCTCGGTAGCTCCTGGAAGAGTGAACTATTGGGATGAATGGAAACTGTTTGGTTGTGTTTGGCTGTCTTGTAGTGCCCTCCATTCGATAATCTTGCTACGTGATAAAAATATCCCGCAGTTATCGCTTTTCTAATATTTACAGTTTCCGTAATCCCAGAGATGAGTTCCATTTCTACTCTTGCCATCAGGCCAACCAATTGTTCACGAACATCTCTCGCCCGTTTCATTGATCTGTGCTGAATGAAATTCTCATAACACCAGTGGGTGCTAAAATCGCTGAGCTGCCATTGATTATAAACATTGAGTAAAGTCAGATGATCGCCACCGGGCACGTGGAAATTTTTCCTTGCTGTATCTGCATGGATGATTTTATCTTTAGGGCGATAAAAAATTGCTCCATTTACAGACAGCATTGCAGCGATTGTAGCAATTTCCTCAGAACACCGATACTTCTCACTGGCCAACAGCATCTTCGCCATCATCGGATCCAGGGGAAATTCCGCCATCCTCCTGCCGAGTTTCGTGAGTTCTCCCTTGTGATTCAGTGCTCCGAGTGCATAGAGCTGCTCTAAAGCTAAAACGAGTGTCTCGTGTGGCGGAGGGTCTAGAAAATCAAAGTGCACGAGATCATTGATGCCCAGGGCTTTGAGAGTCAACACCACATTTCCGAGATTAATCCTTTGAATTTCAGGAACAGTATTGTCTTCAAGCTCGTGCTGATAGGCCCAGGCGGTGTAGAGTCTGAAGCATTTTCCAGGGGCAACTCTCCCAGCCCTTCCCGCCCTCTGATTGGCTGACGCCTTGCTGATGGGCACCACCATGAGACTCTCCATTCCCGTTCTAGAGTTGAAGTTATTTTGCTTGGCAAATCCAGGATCAATCACGTAAACGATATTATCAATTGTCAAAGATGTCTCAGCAATGTTTGTAGCAAGAACGACTTTTCTGGCCCCAGGAGGCGTCGGTGAGAATATCTTTGCTTGCATATCACTGGGCAAATTTGCGTACACTGGAAGTATCATCAGCTCTCCCAATTTTGATCCAAGTCGTCTGACTCTCTCCTGCAGCATCTCCTGGCACGTCTCAATCTCATCCTGTCCTGTGAGAAATACGAGAATATCCCCCGAGGGTTGGGTCGCGTGAATTTGCAACACTGAGACAACACAAGCGTCGATGTAATCAGCCTCTGGGGCTTTTGTATAATAAATATCAACTGGAAAACGACGACCGGGAATCGAGAATACTGGAGCGCCATCGAAAAATGCACTGAATTTGCTTGCATCGAGAGTAGCAGATGATATTAAAAGTTTTAAATCTGTGCGAAAACGTGTGATATCTTTTACAAGACCGAAGAGGATGTCTGTGTGGAGGGTTCGCTCGTGGGCTTCGTCGATAATCATAACACTGTAGGATGCAAGATCTGGTTCGCTGAGGAATTCCCTGTGCAATGTACCATCGGTCATATATTTTATTTTTGTTCGATGGGACGTGCAGTCTTCGAACCTGATGGCATAGCCCACCTCGTTGCCGAGCTTCACAGCCATTTCATGAGCCACTCTGGCAGCCACGGACATTGCTGCAACTCGTCTCGGTTGTGAGCAACCAATAATCTTATCATCTTTGGTAAATCCAGACTCATAGAGGTACTGAGGTATTTGGGTAGTTTTTCCAGAGCCTGTTTCTCCCTCGATTATTAAAACCTGATGATCCCTGATGGCTTGAATTAATTCCTTTTTGAATGCATAAATTGGCAAACTTTTTTGTGTCTCTTCAATCGTAGTCAGTACTTTGGGTTTCTCCATGACTCGTGGAGTCTCTCGATGATGTTCCACACTTCCAGGCATCTGGAGTGCTTGAATGAATTCCACTTCATCGTCTAGTAAAAGTTCGTAGTCCTGTCGCCCTTGTTTGTTCTTCACCCCGAATTTAAACTGAGCTGCCGTCATCTGGTGGGATTCCCACTTGCTCTGCTCTGATTGCGGTGGCTCAGGATCTAAGGGTTCTGATTCTACCTCTCCCTTTCCCTTTTCCAAGGGCATGTGATACCTCTGGATCCTCTCCAGCTCTCTGGCTTTCTCGTGCTCAACTGCCAGTTGAAGAAGTTGCTTTTTGTGTGCTCTCTCATTTCTCTCACGTTCTGTCAAGACTTCTTCATGGAATAAGTACTCGTCGTCCAATATATCAGCTTCGAGTTCAGCCACTTTATCTTCTTTTCGTTTCTCCAAGTATTGTCGTCGTGACTCCACTCGGAGTTTTGGTAGAAGTTTTTCCCTCGAGTCAGCTTCCATGATTTTTAGCCTTTTTGCTGCCTCCGCTGCACCAGAACCCGCTGGCATCGCTACCTTCTGAACTTTCGATTCATCTCTCGCCTTCAAACGATTTGCAAATTCGTCTCGTTCTTGGATATCGCGTTTTCGGCGCTCCTCCTCGCTATCACTGCTGTCATCCTCTGAGGAATCTTTCCTTTTGTATCTCTTCATTGTCGATTGATTTCACTGAATTTTTCCTACAAAATTTTCAAAATTTTCAAAATTAGCAGAAAAAATTGCCCTAAACGCCTTCTTTAGTTAATGTTTTATTCTATTTATAATTCGAATTGAAGTGTACGAAAATATCGTTAGTGTAGCATTAAAAGAATGATGTAAACATGAATTGAACATTGAATGTAGGTTAGGCGCTGCTTTTATGGAGTGAAAATGTAAACATCAAATATGTGGAGGTCCCATGATAGATTTTCGGTAATAAATTCGAGACTATCAGCAAAATATATATTATTTACTTACCTGACTGAAGAATAAGCTGAACTCTCAGTGCTTATGACAGATAAAATCGGTTATGTTTGAGAGTTTTGGAAATTACGAGGATTGAAAAATCGGTGATCGTGTGAACTCAAGCTTTTTTTATTTCATGTAATTGTTCACGAAAAATACGTGGACATATAGAATCTTTGAACATTAAACAGCTGATGAATGTGAACAACAAGAACGATAAATCGTAATGTCGAATCGATTAGTCTTTCGCCGGTTAATCCACGAGAATTCGATATTATAAATATCGATATTTCCAGTTCGGTATCTTGTATCGATATATCCCCTGATACTTTTTTGAAAATTTCGAATTTTTCAATTTCAGTGAGTACCTCCTCAATTTTCCTGCGCCCCTGATACTTTTCCAAAAATTTCGAATTTTCAAATTTCAGTGAATACCGTCTCGATTTATGGATTGAATGTCAGAATGGTCAAAAACCCAGTTTCTTATAGAGAAGTGTATTTATTTCATTTTACAACGGAATGGCGAAATGTAACCATGAGTATATGGATTGTTTTGAACATCACTTTATGCATTACAATGCGATTTATTTAAACTTTATTAAAAGCTGCTATGTCAACGCTCTGTACATATTCCTCTAGCTCTTGAATAGTTTCTGTCAACCAATCAATTGAGACTTTGTCATCTTCCACGACGCACGAGATTTGGAGCTTGCTAATTCCAAAGGCCAGAGGCACCAATTTCGCTGGAATCATAAAATTTTTTAATTACTCTCGAAACATCAGTTTCTGGAAATTCTCATCAGTTGAATTATCAAGAAAAAACAATTGCCCGCTATCAATCATTATAATTAAAAATGTAGACTTCACCTGCTCCCCAGAGTAAACCATCCGTGGCGATCTTCCTGACTTCAGCTTGCATTACTCCCATATCAGTTTCATCATCCCATGGTTTGATGTCAAGAATAATGTTGGATTTGGCAATTAATGCTGGCTCTATACATTAACAAAAAAATAGTCATTATACAAATTATTCTGACTGAAAATTAGTAAATGCATAAGGACATACTTTTGGACTTCTTGGCGTTGTACGCAGCAAGACGTTCTTCTCTGATCTTTGCAGCCTCTGCATCTTCACCCTTCATTATTGCATTAATTGGAAATCGAATTAAATAATTCTGCACAGTTTATACCGATGATAGAATATAAAATCAACTACCGTATTAACAGAACCTATTTAATGCAGACTTTTCTATTTTATCTGTTCTCCAACTTACGATAAATTGTCAATGATTTGTATACTTGAAGCTATGACTCGTGAAACATGATTTTAGATGACACTGTAATGTTTCATTTGTGTATACTTAGAATTTCGGGAATATCTGGTGTAAAATGTCAATTCATCATCAGTAATAATGATCCAAGTTGTGTAAGACCGAGGTTACAGTATTTACAGAAGAGGTAATGTCTCCAGAGAGTTCATGCTGGGATATTTGAATGATCTGTCGTCGAAAAGGGAAATTGGAAAATCCCTCGGGCACAAACAGCTCATACAATGGGTTTTCCATCGAGATTATTGATTAATAAATGAGACGTCGTCGGTAATTTTCTCTCTCACCTCAGAGTCCGAACCAAACAGATCGACCTCGTTGTCATCTTCTCCTGGAGCTTCAACCTCCTGGGGCTTTGCTGGACAGATAGCGATGTAAGGCTCCGGTACCGCTGAGTTCACCTTCAGGTCGAGTTTCTCGATGAGCGCTCGCAGTTCAGCAACAGCTGGAACATGAATAGGTAGTGGGATAAACTGTAAAAAATTGAATTTATAAAAAATTGCAAAATTTCTCTAGATATTCACTATTACGAAGATCGTGATTGTCTTTCTCGAGTTTAGCCACGCGTGCTGGAAGATCCTGGAGACTGACATTGACATCTGCTGCAATGTTGTTCACCTGTAATTATTAATTCATAACGGTTCATCCAACTGTAACTGATACGTCAAAAAAAAAAACCAAAAAAATGCAATTTTGTTGATTAGATTTCTCTACATATTCTACAGAGATAAAATGAGTGGAAGTTAGGACAGAAGCAGATTGAAGGACTATCTAACTCGGGTGGACTCAATTACCAACACGTAATGAGTATGTCAATGAAAGTAAAGGCAAAAAAAAACAGAGCTCATGGAGTGAGAACAAAATTGATAAAATGTCGAATCAGTTGAATAATTCAGTAGGTGAGCAAGATGTTCGGTACTCACACACTGTAAACCTTTTTTTATGTGCTGACGTGCCTTTGCAACCTCGTTGGCCAAACTCCCACTGGCAGGCGTGACTGCACAAGCAGACACTCGGCTTTCCTGTACCCATACCGATTTATTTGAGGATCATTCAACACCAGATGAATCAAGTAATGACAACACGATTAAGCACATAGGGTAGTTTCATGGTGATAAATAATAATTAATAGCCAACAGGTAAATAATGTGAATATTCAATAGTCATTCAATTCTAAGCAACAATGGGTATTCAGTGCGGACCATTGCCATTAAAATAAACGGATGCACAACTCACTATTCGAATATTTATGGCCACGCAATTCCATGACGAGTCGTTAAAGTTGACAAGTCGATTTACCAAATGTATAAATTACTCAAAAATATCTCTGACTCGAAGAAAAATTTGGATATGTCTCTTAAATTCAGAGATATTGAGATTAAATCGACTTGTTATCCTTCAAACATGTGCTGGTGAATTCAGCAGCAAATCAATAAAACAGAATAAATCATCCCATGCCCAATTGCAGGTGAATCATTGAATTGTTAGCATGGCGAGAATCAATATTCCAACAGAAAAAAAAAGTCGTGGAATGAAATAGGATGTTCCATGGGATGACTAAATAACGTGAAACTACAAATACCACAAAAAATAATAGAAAAGTCAATCCCATTGGGGAATTACGAAGTCTACCTGAATTAAAATTGGCTCTTTCTGCCCAGCATCCTCATTCTTAACATCTTTATTATATTTATTCTTTTTATCAGCTTTATTTTTTTTCTCCTTGGATTTCTTTGACGAGGACTTTGTCTGATGATTAGTTAAAATTTCTTGCTGATTAGTAGATACCAAGCTCTTAGGGTTAGACGGATAGCGTTCCATAATATTATGTGACACCACCTTGCAACATTTTTCATGTGGAACGATTAAGTGCATTGAGATTGAGTAAATTGACAGACTGAAGTGACAAAAATTCTAACATTTATTCTTCAAATTCTTATCCAATTGGTCATTTATTGAGTATCAATGTAGGAACAATTGGACAAGTAAGTGATAATTTGATGTTTGACGTTAGAACGAATGATAATGTGTATGCGGTCACCAGATATTCCCCGTGCATTTGTTAATGAACAGACAACCCAGAGGTATCGCATGAGAAGAATGATGGTTTAATTGTCTGACAGATGTGCTTGTGTACATTTTCATCTTGCATATTGGTGCAACAAAACTTACCTTCGCCAGACGCTCGAAGTGAGCCGATTCAGCCTTGTCGTAGGCGGATTTTGTCACCCAGACTTTCTCTTGTGCAAGGGCTGTGGTTGGCATTTTTCAATTCTCGAGTCTTTTAATTTTCTGCAAAATAGTCCAAACCATATCCACAACTTATTAATATATTGGATATATCATTTCTATTGGTAAAAAAACACCTATTATTTTTCCAATGGATTTTTAAATGTCAAAATACAATAATCGTTTTTCAATTATAACATTTATTATCAAATTATATAAAAATGGAAACAAATTTTGACAATGATAAAACCTTCAGTAAAGCAACCAATAAAACTCCGTATTTATTTTCTATCGTAAAAACGTATGAAACACTTGATTGACATGTTATCGTCGATCGATTGAATAGCTAAAAGAATAAAAAATCACTCCTAAAACTATCAAATAATTAAAGCTCGTCATCAGACGAACTGTCAGTCTTAGGTCGTCGTCTTTTGAAAGATTTGAACTCCATAAAATCACATTCAAATTTCTCAGGATGCTCTGCAGAGGTGACCAGAAGCTCATCGATAATTTTCTTTTGAAAATGTTTAAATTTTCCTTGAGCTTCCGGGCGCCACGCATCACGGGAGTGAATACCAGGCACAACACAAGGGTGAATTTTCATCGGCTTAAAATAATCAATAAATTCTCGCAATTCGCTGCTAGACGGATGACACGAGTAGCAAACGTAAAATCTCCTGTCCTCCCATGCAGTAAACCCTTCAGATAAATCCCTCCCAATCCACCTCCAAGCAGACGGAATAATCGTCAGAATATTTTCTTTCTCCACATCATCTCTACAAATTAATCGTTTCGATTCTCGTGGCACCCTTGAGCCCTTCGCGATACACGCATGAACACGAGTTTCATTCTGATCCTCAGTTGTATACTGAGACAACTCTGGAGTAAATCTATAACTCTCCTGAACGCAGTTTCTAACATGAATGCGTTGTTTAATAGAAGCTGATAGCTTGCAGAATAAATCCTCAGAGCCATAATTCGCTGAGATTTCAAAAACAACAAAATTCTGAGGATCGCGTCCCAACCATTCCTCAACAACTGGAACAATTTGACCCAGAGCTTCACTCCTATTGGGAAACCGTGCAATCTCTCCATAAAAAGTCGTGTCGAGATAAATATTATCAAAGCTTCTGGGCACGAGTTTATCATGAACTCTAACATGCAGTGGTTTTAATTTGGCAAAATCATGAGGATGAATACGAAAATCTCCAGTGCACAATATATTAACATCCTTATCATCTCTCTTAGCTTCAAACATGAACATGACTGAACCTGGACAATGTCCAGCTGGTACAGCAGTTACTGTCAGTGCTGAATCACAATTCTCTTCGCAATTCTTATCATAACGATCAACATTCGGGTCTCTGTAGCTAACGACCATTGGATTACACACCGCCACGTCTACAATTCGATTAATCCATTCTACCTTTGAACTCAGACGCAACTTAGTGACTAAAATAGTCTTTGTCAGTGGTGTACAGTATATGTACTGTTTTTTATCATTGATATGTTGAAAGAACGAGTCGTCAAGACCCACGGTGTGGTCTCCATGGAAATGGCTGAGAAAGAAAGCAGTACTGGAGGTACGATTATTCATCTCAAATCTATCCATTGAAATCCCAGGCAATTCCTCAATGATCCCCCGAAATGTCGACATTTTGTCGATAACCTTGTCCTATCCCTCCTGCAAATGAAAATGTTCGTACATGCGAGTCACCATTGCATCCCCCAACTAATTCCCATTCCCTCGATCATTAATTCCTAAACCATGTGCTCCCAGTCAATCGGTCCCATAAGTCCAATCCCATAAAAACCCAAGTGGGTAAATCACTTATTTATCCTTAAAACCCGGAATGACCCATCGCCACCAGAATGTCATCCATTACCTCCAACGTACTCAATGTATCTAATCATAATTAATATTTACCTGTGTAGAAATGACAATTGGAGAGACGATTAACCTTCGTCTTCGTTCACGTTCGATTTTTCTCTCACACTGATGTGAATAAATTCAATGTTGTGTTGGTGCCAACTAAGCTATGATACAAGCAGGTATAGTCAAGCCAAAAACAGGGGACAAGTTCTCTCAGGCGGCACGAGACGGCGCGGCGGTCACTATCACCTTCCCCTCATCGCCATGTCATCCCCACTTTGCAGCTGTTCGGCACTGGTGGGACTATTTAAAAAATGAAAATTTAAAATAGCAGGAAAAAATGTAAAATATGGCCTTGGTTTATGGGATGTATGGTATCTACATGACCTCAAAGTTTCAAAAATAGAATAAACTATAGAAGCATTACCCAGTCTCCAAAAATCAGGCAATAACAATAAATAAATTGATTCCTCTTATTTTTTATTAAAAAATAACAGCGACTTACAGGTGATGCAGCAGTTTTCGCAAACGAACCGGCACTCGAGCTGACGGGATTAGAAAACAGAACGTAATTCAATGTATCTGATACTCCCATTCCCGTTTCAGAGATCCAATCGAAGTGTTTTTGATGGTCAAAATCCACACGGTAAATTTTCTTCAATCAATTATTTCTCACTGACTATTGGATTTTACATGATTGTACTGTTTTTTTTTAAGAGAGAATTATTTATTAGGTTAAGAATTTTCGCAATTATCGTATCTCGTCAAGTTGAGACTGCCCGCGGTGTTCTGTGCGCACGGACGGTTCGCGTGCGTATGCACGGCGTATCGCCTGGCGACCCCCCCTCGAGCGGTCTTCTGTGCGCATGCAGGGTGTTCTGTGCGCATGGGGAGTGTTCTGTGCGCGTGCGCGGAGTATCGCCGGGGGACCCCCCACTCGAGCGCCGTCTCCAACCCCCTGCCATTTTCAGTGGGGAGTCAGTCGTTCCGCGACCCGCGCGTGGAACGGTCGGTCGCGCGTCGCGTAGTTAAAATTCGTTAACATCGGGGTCCTAGTGAGCGCAAAAGACAAGCGCCTCCTGTGAACATTGAAAATACAAAGTGCGGGACTCAGTGCAAGTGATTTTGTGAATTGTTTAGTGTGTGTTTAGATACGGACTGAAGTGACAGTGCGAATTAGATTCGAAGGATTACTTTTCTCATTCATCTTATTTTGAATGATTAAAAATATTATTTGATCTTTGATATTATTCTATTGATCTTTGTGGATTTTGAGTTGATAAAACATTCTTGGTTGTGTGGTGAGTGATTAGTGAACTTTTGAACTGTCTGCTGTCTTTGAAAATGCTGGTGCTTCTAAGCCGACTTCAACCTTTGGCGTCAGAATCACATGGGGAGATCTTCAGGATTGGAGGGAATCTTGCAACCGACTGCAAGGTGAGTTTCGTATGCATTTTTTTTATGACCTTGAAGCATCTTTTTCATTTTATTTTCATGTCATTTTTTTCATTCCTGATTCTTGATATATTCAATGCTTACATTACAAATAATTTTCAATTATTCAATTAACTCTCCAATAAAATAAAAAAATTTAAAATAAAAAGTAATAAATAATTTTAATAAATAATTTTAAATAAAAACTCTCAAATCAAAATTAAAAATCGCCTTTGCAGTAAAAAAATTATTTTGTCGAAATTTCATTAACAATTTGTTTTTTTTTTATGTTTACAGTTAAGGTAAGACGTTCGAAAGGTGAAAATTGAAAGCGGACTTATTTTCATCCAACGCCGGTGAGCGAAATTTATTTATTAACTAGCGCCGCCGGATATATCGTATCCGTTCCGTGGATTTTTTCGTGGTCGGTTCGGGGGTTTGAATTTTCGAGATGATTTTATGATTTTATCTCTCGATCAGATGATGTCGAGATGCCAGTAGATATGGCTCCATCACATAAATCGCGAGTGCGTGTATAAACAAGTGATTGACTACGCTGGAGTGCCGCATTTTGAAATTGGAATTAAAGCCCGGTTGGATTGTCTGGAAAAGACGATTTACTCCAAAATTGGCACTCCTAATTACTCCACCAATTAATCGATTTTTCCGATAATTGTTAGCTAGCGCTCTAGTTGTTGACAACCGCTACGGTGCTAGCTAACAATTATTGGAAAAAACGATTAATTTCCGGAGTAACTAGTCGTCCAAATTTTGGAGTCAATTATATTTTCCAGATAATCCATCCGGGCCTTAAATCCGCCCAAAACAGTAAGTACGATATTAAATTATTATTGAAGTAAATCAAGTAAACATCACTGACAAATTTGTGTAGATATTTTTAATAACTGTTAATTCGTTGAAACACAAATAATCAGCAGTCGAAGAGCTCAGAGTTATTAAAAGGGAAGCTGGAGTGATTGAAGGAGAAGGTACAGGGAGTCATCGACGAGGCAGGAAAAACGGAGCTGGGTAAAAAAGCTGAGTAATTGGGTAAGGAAATTTCAAAATCTGCGAAGGAAGCTGCTGAGACGTTATCAGAAAAAAGTCAGGCTTTTGAGATGACCAATGCCTTTCAGACTATATCACAGACCGCAGAAGTCGTTAGAAAAGAATTAGACAATCATGGGATTCAAGGACGAGTCTATGTACTATTGACTAAATTGAGAAAACGAAAGGAGATATCAGTATTGCTTTTACTCAACATTTTTAATAATTTATTCCACAGACTAGCGTGTGGAATTATCGCGAGATCATCAGGAGTCTTCGAAAATACGAAAAGAATTTGTGCCTGCGATGGGACGACCCTGTGGGATGAGCGAGATGAGTCTAAACATAAAGGTTCATTCAAAAATACTTTCATATATCCAGGTAAATGCACCATAGCCTAATACTCGTAGTATTTACCGATTGAATACAATTTTAAAAGCCAATGTTTTGTGTGTCTTTTCAGTGTGTGGTAATAATCTTTAAATTCGATCCAGAGTGGATAGTGCACTTTTGGAAAACTACTATAAATTTATTTCTGTATACAGGTCATGTAAAAGTCATATCATTCCATAATATTCCTGATGAAACATTTTTATATTTCAGTTTTTACTTATGAGGAGGGCTGAAGGTATTTATAACTCAAATAAAAATTCAATATAAACCCATAAATAAATGTTTATTGTGTTCGATCAGATTGATTCAATTCGTACCTTATCCTTTATCAGTGTGCGTGACGTAAAAAAAATTATAATAATCCAAAAAGGTATGCGAATAACTAGGAAAATTTGATCGAATGAGAATAAATCATTCGTTATCAGAACCACTGCCTCGAATTGTTTTTGATTTCTGGTTTCCAAAGAGTAGATTAGACGGCTTCTTTCCCTTTTCTGGTGGATTCAACAGGTCACCAGTGTATGATATTGCACCAGACTGGGCTATTTTCCACTCCATCATGTCTGCGGAAAAATCGTCGCAATTTCCGAGTTTCGTGAAGCCTACGATGTAGTCTTTTGTCTTGCTGTCTGAGATGAGGGCTATCGTGGGAATTATTTTGATCCACATTATGGAAATAGCTTTAAGTAAACTTGGGCGGCGAAAGGTGTTCTCTGCTGGATAACCTCCTGTTGACGATTTCGGTTTCCTCTTAAGCTCTCGCATTTTGTCTACCTTCACCTTTCGTAAATGCATTATCTTTCTTCGGGTCAAGAATTGATCCAGGAATTCATCGACTTTTGCATCTCCCGATAAGAATTTCTCAGCTATTTTCTGGACACGAAGGAGAATACAAATAAAAATCACAATTATCATTTAATAATTGTTTATATAATTGCTTAAATATAATTGCTTCAATTTCCACAGCAGCTCACAGCCTTTTTCAGACAGTTCATGTAATGCTTTTTTATTCTCTTCGAGTTGGGCTTGTTTTGTTAGATTGACTTCGGCCAGAGAACGATTTCCAGCGATCAGAACTTCCTTTTCAGATTCCAATTCTTTAAACTAGAAAACCTCACGAAAAGTTGGTAAGTCGCATATCTAATAATGAGACAACCGTCTTATTATCCATTTATTGTCATCGATTAAATAATTCACCTGTTTTATGTCATTGACAACTTCCTCGAATCTTCCATCATCGTTCAATATTTCTCCCAAATCAGTGTTGCTGAGATGATTCAACATCGACGATGTAGCTAGAATATCCATAGAAATTGATGAATTTATTATTAATTCATTATTATTTATTATTAATAAATTTCATGTTTCTTTTTTGATTCCAGGTTTTTAAATCATAACAATTTCCCATCTATTGACTTAGTGGATTAGGCCTACAGGGGATACCACTTTAAAAAAAACGCGTCAAGCACTCTACCTCTTGGGTGACGTGGAAAGAGTTTCACTTTAATTACTTGATTTATGAAAAAATAGTCAATACTGGGGAAGAATCTCTCGTGTTGAAATAATCATATACCCATTGTTCATTTATGCTTTTGTAGACAATTTTTATGCCATACCTTTTTTTTTCATGTAAATTTGAAAGAAAAAAAATCAAACGACTCGACTGGCATTCAAATGTAAACGCCAGAAATTGCTGAATTGTGGGGACGAAATGCGCATGAGGAGAAGGCGTTATACAGCGCTACGTACGACGTCTGAAGGTACTTGTCCCCTGTTTTGGTGTCGGCGACATCAAAGCTTGGCAATACCTCCTTCCATCATACCTTAGTGCCAACCTCCAACTCGAACCCCAACGACATCCTAAAGTTCTATTTCCAAGGGAATTTTAGACATTCGTAAAAAGTTACGAGTGACAGAACTGCGCCAGCGGAACAGCTGATGCCATTGGTGCAGCCGAATCGAATGATCCTAGCGAAACCAAAAGAAAAAAAGGAAAATAAATAAAAAAGTGTTGCTCACCGGAGTTTAGGTTAGTCGGTGAATCAAGGAGGATATTATTTGGCCTCGTGTATGTGTGTACATGGGATTCATGCAGATGTCGAGCAAATAGTAAGCAGCGGAGGTAAAGGTTCATATTCCTCGGGAGGAAGAGGAAGCACATAATGGTGTTTCCATTGATGATTGACCACTGGGTTAAATATTAATGTTAATTATGAAACAATTGTGAGTAAATCGGTGTCAGTGAATCAGGGAGTGGAGGTTTTTTTTTCGGGGATAAGGAGTGATTGGCAAAAATTGTCATAACCGTCACCGGTGAGGAAAGAGGTGTAAAAATACAAAGGAAAATAATTTTTTGAAGTGTTCAAATATTTCTAGTGACTCAGGTGTATTGTAGGAGAGAACATTGAGTGGGAATATTTATTTAGGACAAAGATAATTTTTTGGGTATTATAAGTACAGAGTAAAAGGAGCTATCAAGGGATATTCCACGTTTTATCATCAGTGGTAGAGATTTAAGGTTTCGTGGAAATGATGATGAGTTCACATTATGTAATAATTTATGGTTGATAGGGGGAATGTTATGGTGGATAATCACTGTCCACGTGAAGGCTACTCGATTCTTTACAACGGGTGGCATTTTCCAAAAATGACCGACTCATCTCCCTCTTCCTCATCAGCTTTTATCAAGTGAGTTTCCTCCATTCGAGTAATTTTTTCCAATTACATCACTCACTTTATCTCTCTTTCTAATTTATCTCATTTTGTTCTCATTTTTTTTGCAACGCAATACCTATATTTGATGCGTGAACCGGTAATGTCCTTGGATGCAGTTATTTTCAATTAAAATTAATGGCACTTGTATGTCATTGTATTTTTCTGATTATCTTGAAAAATGAATTGACAGTTTCGTCCGGTTTTGTCTGCGGGGGTTTTCGCTGATTCAGAATCGTACGGATGATGAGTCTATTGCCTCGGAATTTTAGATATCGATTGACAGATATTTGTTTAACTTGTCTGTTTCAAATTAGCATTTAATTGATAACTATTTCATGAACGCCAAACCAAAGGAAATGTTCATTATTTTAATAATGAGTACTTAGAGTTCAATTTGCCATCTACTTTCATAAATTATTATTCATTCATATGAATAATGGATTTTGGACAATTTGTATTCGTTCATTAATCATTCATACTTTTTAACTAAAGCTCATTACCCACGGTATGTTGTTATTGTTCATTCATAAGTTGAAGTACAATTAATCAATATTATTAGAAAATATTCTCATATAGGGCATGTGCAATTTGAATCGTCTTGCAACACAATTCTTAACAATGTAATTGCATAAGTGGATATTGCTGAGGCTTCCCCTCACACCCAATGCAATAATACTGAAGTACCAGACAGTGAATTTCATCGGATGCAATTATGAAAACGTTAAATCCCTGGAAATCCATTTAGTATTCATTTTTTTTTCTGTTACAGCCTAGCCAATAACATCGTTACCCTTGTAAAATGCATCCTGCGAACAGGATTTGTTATAATAAACAATGTCTACTGTATTCCAACGTATGTCGTGTGGATGATGCTGCTATTCCCGGTGAAGGTTTATCATCCGCAGATGTATTGGAGGATAGAGGGCTTATTTTTTCACTGGCTGTTGGCCATGGTGTCCATGTGGACTTGGTCCGCCGGTTATGATAGTGAGTATTCAATAAATAATTTTATCACCTTGCTCAAGGATAATTGCTTTTCACACTATCCCACCGAGCTATTCGCAAATAAAATTCAATTCCTCGTAATTGTAAACCTATTAAAAATTAGAAAAAAAAAGAAAAATCCTTGGATTTTGTACACAATGTTTAAAGTCTCTCGTTTTTATTCAGTTATTGAACAGGGCGATGATATTCATCGTATCGTGAGTGATAGAACTTTGGTCATAGCGAATCACCAGAGCACAGGAGATGTGCCGATACTAATGACAACCTTCAACGCTAAACCCAATGTTCTACCCAATCTCATGTGGATCATGGACAGTATATTTAAATTCACTAATTTCGGTGTCGTTTCGATGCTTCACCAGGACTTCTTCATCTCCTCGGTAAATTCCATCGATGTTTCAGTGTAATTGTTTCTCATTCGTAATTAATGAATAATTCAGTGGAATGACGAAATTCGATTGAGCGATTCAGGGTCGAAAACGGAGAGAGGAAAGTCTCAGGCAATTGGAGAAACATCTGGAGGAGGCTTATGTGCCACGTGAACGCAAGTGGATGGTACTTTTCCCTGAGGGGGGATTTTTGTGTAAGAGACGTGAGACGTCACAGAAATACGCCAAAAAGAATAATCTACCGATACTTGAGAATGTTACCCTACCCAGGGTAGGTGCTATGCGTATGGTATTCGAAAAACTTGGCCCAGCCCAAAACAACAACTCTGATCTACAGTTAAACACCAGATCAAGTAAGCGCTAATACACATTTCATTTTATTTTTTAAGCACGAAAGGGAATTCCTATCTGAAATTCATATGCAACTGCTTCACTCGGCAAACATGATAAACAGAATATGAAGCTTTGAAATTTTTTAGCTCTCGTTTTACCACAAGTCTTAACCCATTTCCAGTTTTCTCCCTCCAAAAAGATCTATCTGTCTTACGCAGAGCAATGTTCTTTCGTGCATGACATGAAAAAATGTGTTAATGAATTATGTTTACTGCTCATATAATTTTCATCCCATAATTGGCAGGTTCGACCATAGCTAGACCCGAAATTAGTTGGGTTCTTGATATAACGATAGCCTATCCTCAGGGTAAACCGATCGATTTGCCAACGATCGTTACGGGGTCAAGGTCACCCTGTGAAACCGTCCTTTTTTACCGATTGTATCCCAGCTCGGTGGTACGTTTCGATTTTATTTATTTATTATTCGCCACTGAATCACGTGATGAAACTTGCGTGTCACTAACTTGTAATTTCGTAATGAGTGCTTTTTTTATTTCAAATGAACAGGTACCTAGGGACCCGGAGCTATTATCTAAATGGTTGTACGACAGATGGGTAGAGAAGGAGACACTTTTAGATAATTTTTACAAATACGGATCTTTTCTTGGCCCCTGTAGATCAACCAATGAAGGAACAAAAATACAACAAGATCCACTGAGATATCTAGTTCTTCACCTTTTCTTCATAACATCTAGTTATATACATTATAATATATTTTCGTATGTATTATCGTGCATTTGGTGATGTGTCATGAGTTAACTTTCAGTCATTGAGATTGCAGTGGTAAGGAGAATTTTTATTGTTTAGTGCACTACTCAGTGTGATAATGAAATTGAACCGTGTTCAATCGCTTACCAAAATGAATTATCAAAATTGCACTTAAACTGTTAAAAGAATGAAATTCACTCTCAAAAGACAATTGTCTTGTTATCACTTTTTTTTATTCTTGTTATAAAAATTTCAATGATGATTGAATTGAGAATTGACGTTTGAGTTTTGAGAGTTAAATTTAAGGAACAAAATGAAGGAAATCACGTGAACTGTGGCCTATGTGGTGGAATTTAATTAACGAGAAATGAATAAAAATTGGTCCAATCGTATGAATAACAGCGTATCTAATTAATTGCCTTTTGAGGAATACTAATCGTTGTAATGTTTCTGGTGAGATGTCTCATTCAGAGCGATACTCAATGAATTGTTGTAACAATTGGAGACATTATCACTCAATTTGTTTTTTTTTTTCATAAAGAAACCCAGTGCCTCGAAGCTTGTCTGATTTACAATAAATTGGAGTTTGAACACTTAGTATTTTCAGTTAGAATGATTACGAAGAAGAATTAGTTTGTGATACACTGAAATAGATATGGAGTGGAGATGATTTTGAAACGATGAGAAGGAAGGGGAAAATTAATAATAATCGTTAACGATAAGGCAACATGGAGATATAACATATTTTTTAAACTCAACGTTTGACGACGACTGTAGTTTTTTCTATGAAATCTTCACCACAACATTCAAATTTTCCCCCCTGTGAAATTTTAAGAGCGAATTTTATATGAATTATATGTATTGTACACCGTGTATGTACGCATGTACGTATGTAAGTATGTATAGATTAGCTGTAATCATATTCACATGGCCGAGCGATAGGTGTCATTGAATCAAAGTCTCTGTCTCTCAATGTTGGAGAATAATTGGTAATACATAAGGTGAAAAGTGGTGTACGTGGATAATGTGTGTATTTCCATTGGACTGTTGTGCACAAAAAAAAAATAATGAAGAGGATTGGATTGTGAAGACAATAGACTGTCGCGTTATTTAGGTAGTAAGGGGTAATTTATTAAAAATTAATCGCTGGAGAGCGTCTGTGGTGGATAATGGTGGGAGAGCACTCGAAGTGGGAATCTGTAAAAATTAATCAAATAAAATCAAGTGGACGTGGAGTGAACGTTTTTCTTCGTGGATAAATCAAATATTAAAAATAGATAATACATTTTACGATTTCCTTCCTCTTCATCGATTACTCCAGCCTAGTCCCCCCTCTTTTTCGAATTAGTTATGCGAATCATTTATTTATTCGGTCCATACTTTCTCTCGTTCAAGCACAAGACATTGTTTACAAGCAAATTCATCTACTCTCAATCGAAAATCGCTAGCATTTCTCTTTCCTAATGCATTTAAGAATCCTCACAATACATTTGTCATTGAAATATTATTATAAATTGTGTGATATCGAGCATGTGAATGTGGCCGTCCAATGTATTCATTGATTTGGGCACGGGACATACGTACATGTCATAATTTTCAGTGACTCGCACGAATCAAATAAATCGTATTAATAAAATTCTCAGGCAAGGTTTTAATTAAATTTTTTCAACGTCATTGTATGCACCTCCGTGTATTGTGAATGTCACATTTTCCGAATGTTTAAATAACTATTGTAACTCAATTTATGTACAGAACTTGATCCACGGAATTGTCGGTAAATGAGTGATGTCACACGCTGCCTCATTCTACTCATAATAATAATTTTTAAGTAAATAATTGTATTGAGTCAGCAAAATACAGTACAGAAATATCATCCAGTGGAATATTTTTATTACAAATATTGATTCTTCAATTACCATTTTTTATATACAAAAGTAGTAAAGTAAGGAAGATCATGAAGTTGAAATGAATTACGAGGAAATTATGACGTGACTCAGTGATTTTTCACATTGAAAACCAGAGAGACAGGTCTGAATTTCCATGCAAAGTCAAACATAAAAGAGTTATCACAAATAATCATACATTAATTCTTTCATCTACGTTAGAATTACTGCAATTATTAACTTATTTATATAATCATCAATGGTATAAATATAAACAGTGATGATAAATGAACACCCAGAGCTCTTGAATGATCGTTGAACAATGGGGCATGTCGGTTTATGCCAGTCTTATCGGTTAAACGTCTACGTATTGCACAGGCGATTGAACGTTTCTCTCTTTACATTCCATGCAGTTCACGTCCATCGGATACTGCCCCAAATGAGCAATGAAAAATAACTCGTCATACAAGTGGTAAATTTATTGAAATTTGCAGTCACGTTCGTCACTGCCATCTGAACACTCGAGGAAACCATTGCAAATACGAGATTTTGGAAGGCACTCGCCAAGGGGACAGCGATGGCCCTTGCAAATTGGTATCGATGATGGAAAACTACTCGTTGATATGGTACGCTCGATCCAAGGGAGGTAGTGGTATACTTTTGTGTAGACACCGGGTCTTCCTGGTCTTGCACAGCCGTAACCGTTTGATGTAATTCCTAGAACAATTCAATTTCTCAACATGGAAAAAACGAACTGGTATAGTGGTGATCTTTCTTATTTGTTAGTATTTTTCAAGAGAGCTTTTTACCGTGTAAAATATATCTGTTGTCATTCCCTTGACAAACGAGAGGTCCTCCACTGTCACCCATGCAGGCATCCCTCCCGCCGTCTTTCAACCCTGCACACAGCATCCCAGACGTTATCCTATAGAGTGGGAGAAACAGTGTCTTTCTTCTGCACTCTTCAGTCGAAATCAGTGGCAATTCAACTTCTTGAAGAGTATCAGCTGAAATAATACTACCGGTTTATTGTTGTCGTATCAATGAGCAAAAATAGAGGAAGGCACGTATGAAAATATTCATTGAAAAAAAACGTAATACTTTCTCTAATTATTTTGGATATTTTGGAATTTCGTTGGGGGTTGCAATAAAATTTTTTATGAAGAAATCTTCATTTTGATTTCTTTCACGTTTTCATTCCCGAAGTGAATTTATGGGAAATCAACGATTAGTCAATGGAGAAATTCGATTTTAGAAAAAAGTCACTCCTCTCCCAGATTTGTTTTTCAGATTTTTGCAAATGAATTTCACGTCCATAAAAATCTAATCTCAGCATAAAATCATTCCTTTTATTGAATCCGTTAATTTGTATTTCTCCTTGTCGGTGGTTTATTAAAAAAAATTCTTACGGAATATTCTGCCAATTTCATATAGCTGTCCCCATCCAGTGACAGTGCAGCTAGTTCCACTCTTGGGTTCCCCGTCAGGCAGACAAATCGGCCTGACATAATCACTAAAGGTAACCGGTTTCTCGAGTCTGAGCATCGCCACATCATTGATGTAGCCATTGTCAACGTACTCCGGATGAAGTATAACATAGTCAAGTGGTAAAATTTGTTCGTGGGGGCTGGGAAAATTTCCCTTGCGAGTTGCACCGATCCTAGCCACCCAGTACTCATTCTGTGTGCTGTTTTAATTACCCAGATTAGTATTAATTAACCATACGATAAATGACACTAGCAATTGGATGATAAACTCACTGGTAGAAGCAGTGAGCCGCCGAGAGGACCCATTTATCATTGATTAAAGCTCCACCGCACTGATAATCTCCCTCTTTATAAAGTGCCACTTGCCATGGCCAGCTTCCCGCCGTTGAACTGCCACCCCCGACAATTCTGGAGTGACGATTCATAAGAGCACTAATTATTCATCATTTTTAGTCATGAAAATTCGGAATAACCATCACAAATATCCAGTACCGAAGTGGTCAATTTATTTATGAACTAATAACTCAATTACTTACTGACTTTTGAAATAATAGAATGAATTTCAATAAATTTCAATGAATTCGAATTCTAATAATTTCCAAACTGATCGCTTCCGTTAAAATATTCGAGAGCAACTCAACAAAATATGTGAAAATTCGACTAGTTTTTTGCGCTCGACCACTTCGCTTCAGAATCCATTTCAACTCACCTAGCCTGTGAAGTCGTCTGTGTCCTTATCCCGCACTCGAGATTCTTGCATTTGACTTTTAAAACTTCCCTACTAGGGCAATCCGACGCTCTGAACGTGAGACTCGCTTTATCAGAACTCCGGTCATTGGAAAACAAGCTGTAATACGTTCTGCTCTCATCCTCCACATCCTCCACTATTTTCTCTACTCTCTCGCAATCCTGATAAGTGATGGCCTTGCAAAACGCTCTTCCGAGGTCCTCGATAGTCCATGCAGTCCTCCTGTCCTCTAGTAAATTATCCGTTCCATTCAAGCACAATTTTCCCCATTTTCCATTTCTTCTTATGCTGAGAAATCCGTGATCGCGATAGCCGTTGACTTCCTGCCTAAAATCAACCTTTCCCATCATAATTCCCATTTTACTGGTCACCTGAAACGCCGTTTTTGAAGAGTCCCCCAAGTGGTTTTTTAAATTCGACGTGACTTCCCTGCCGAACACCTTGGGACTCTTTCCACTAAATTCCTCATAACTTTTCTTCTCTTTACTGGGAATCTCAGAAGGTACTATTCTCAAAGTGGTCATCTCTAAAACTGCTGTTTCCAATGCTAATTGATCCCCTGAATGTTTCATGTCCTCGCCGTATTTCATTTCCTCTCTGATTAAAGCTTTCGATACGATTCCCTCGTTCCCATTCCCCTCGTTAGCCATATCCACAGTCGCCAATCTTTTTTGCTCTACTACTACCACCTTTTCCACCGCTTCCCCCTCATCCTCAATCAGCGCTGCGCACTTCTTTTCGTCCTCACCCCCTGGACAATCTCGATAACCATCGCAGACTTTAGTCCGATCGACGCAGAAACGGCTGTTGCCACAGACAAACTGTCCATCAGTGCACCAATCGCAGTGAGTTTCATCAGAGTAATCCCAGCAGTCGGGAACACCATCGCAGATCTTCTGCTCGCGTTGCTGTGCCCTCAGGAAGTCCGCACAAGTGCAATTGGCCTCGTCCTCGGAGTTGATACACTCTCCGAGCATATTGCAACGCCCGGCTGATGGCAGACACTTGCCATCGCTGCAGAGAAAGCCCTTGCACTCGCTGTCAAGCGTGGGAATTTCTTCAGTAGTTAGGGTCAATCTGTCTGACCTGTCCTCAGCCTTGTGGAGGACTTTCGTCAACACTTCGACCCCATCTCTACTGAGGGTTGTTGGTGCCGAGATTAGTGTGGGCTTCGCCGTCTTGTTCCCAGTGGTCACTGCTGCAAATTTCTTCAGCTCTTCAACATTCACAGCGGACGAATGATAATTTCCCTCAATACTTTCTGGTTTTAATCCCACTGATTGCGTCGTGTTTTTCTTTTTCAACCCCACCTCATTTCCAGCTCGCACTTCAGCGAATTGTTTCAAATGCTCGAGAAGTGCTTCTTTTTCCTCAGCCGTGGAAATCCTACGATCAACTGGGTGCTGAGGTTTAGAGGTTTTTTCATCCGTCCAAACAAACAACTTCGAGTCCAGCAGATCTTCGTTTATAATCCTCTGAAACGACCGATTCTCCTCGACACTTGGCTTCTCCTCTCTACCAGGTGCATCGACAGCAGCAGTTGAAGTTGAATTTGTCACATCGAAACTCAGAACAACTTGATCGGTTCGGACTTTGGTGGAAACCCTCGTGCTGACTGACGTTACCACTTCCACGATGCTCTCGATAGCTCGATTACCATCGGTGTCTTTACCATTTGGGTTCTCCCTAACGACTTCCTGAAGGCCAAATAATTTTTCCAATAATTCCTCATCCGTCGAGCTGACGTTCCCGCTCTGCTTCGATTTTTCGAGGACTCGCGTCACTTTTTCCTTATCGATCTTCGGTCGCGGTCGGATTGGGCGACCCACTCCTGTGTTACTTTTCACAGGGGCCAGGCTCACGATGTTCCTCACGATATTCGCATTTAATGTATCGTTGTAGGTCTTCTGACTTGGCTCTGAGACTGTCTCGTTGCTTGCAGTCCAGATCGAGGGCTCCGGGTAGTTCTCAGCGTTCTCCGGAGTGTGCTCCACGGTTTCCACTGCGATGAATGTAGAATTACGAGAGGAACTGTCAGACGTTGAAGAGATTTCCGGCAATGGGCTGGAAGTTTTTTTCTCCTCGATTATCTCTAATCCCGGAAGAGTTGTTGAGATGATTTTGATAGTTGTTGATTCAAAAATTTGATAGTTTTTTGTGCTTTCTTCAGGCAGTAGAGTAGATACTTTTATTTGAGGTTCAGTTGAAGGCATCGGAGGTTTTTCTGGTGTTGCAGAAATTGTAGATGAGCTTTCTGTTTTTGGTGCGTTTGTTGTGACATCCGCTGGAACATGCGGAACTGTTGGATTAATTTTATCAACAGGGATTGTGTGCTTAAATGGCTTCAAAGTTCCAGGATTATTAATGAGACTGGGTTTAGACCCTCCGTTTAAATCCGGGGTTCGGTAGCTGGTGTAAACCGGGGAGACGACTTGTTGATCGACTTTTCGATCTGTCATGGTATCGTCGGTGGGATCAGCTGCCAGGATACTCGAAAATTTATTCCTAGACTCCAGATCTATCTCTAGGTCCAACACTGGCTCGGCTACTCCAACGCCAGAAATTTTAATTACTCCAGGTCGTTGAGGAGATGATAAACTAACTGGTTTGACTCTCTGAGGTTGAAAACCCGTTTTTATTATTTCCGGGGCCACTGGAGGACTCGTTGGCAGGAAAATGGAGGGATTGGTCTTTAAAGGAACCGATGCTGTCCCTAGATGCAGGTCGAATGTCTCCTCGGGGAGATGTCCCGATATTTCGATGTCAGGCCTCATCTCCACGTCGTCAACCCCCGGAATTTTATTCTTGAATTTGCCATTCGGTCGGAAGTTGACCATTTCCTCGGGGACGATGCGGTCGTGGGGAAAATCGAATTCACTGTCGAGGGAGCTGAGGCTCACCGAGGGAAGACTGAACTTTATGTCCTCAGGTGAAGCACCAGTGGTCAGGGAGATGCCTTCGATGTTCGATAATTTTGGGGGATCAACGTTGACGATTCCGTATTGGATCTGATGGTCTATCTCAGCAAGAACTTGTGTGTTTGAATTTACTCGTAATTCGGGGGTGGCGGGAGAGGCGGGTGAGGCGGGGGGCAATAGCGAGGGGAGATTGAGTTCTGGGTTGAGATAAGTTGGGATTATCGGTCGCCAAGGGGAGTCCTCAAACTCGGGCTTTGGGAAGACCTTGAAGGGGTCATTAGACTCTGTCGATGGGTTTGAAGTTGTAACAGCTGATGGACTTGTCGACTCTGGAATTCTCGGTGTCATTGGTGGCCCAGTCACTTCGATCTCATCAATCTTCTCGATATTAGGTGGAGTGGGCACTCTGATGGCTGCAGGTGTCTCGGTTTTTTTAGGGGGAAGGGGCCCCTCGAGGCTGGGGGTTGATGGGGACTCCTGCTTTATGCTTATTGAGCCCGATGATATCTTTGTTTCGGTCTTTTGGGTGCCACGGGTGCTTGTATTGACTTTTGTTGCCTGGTATGTGCCCTGGATCGTTGGAATGTTGCTGAGATCGATGCTATCCTCGTTTGGCTCGATTCGGGAAGGTTTTGGCTTCGTTCGAGGACTTGTCAGAAGGGCTGTACGGTTCGGAGGACGCATCACACCGTTTTTCGTTATCATCGTATTACGTTGTTGAGGAACCGCTGGTTTTGGGACTCGCTCTGAATTTGTTTCGGTATTGAGCCCTGAAGAATTATTTCTATGGGTTACGTGCCGAAGGCCATAACAATTTTCTTATCAATTCTTTTTCCCCTCCGAAAAAATCTCTATCCAAATTCTCCCGGAATATTTTTTACCATTAATTCATTATTCGTCTAATTACATTGAAAATATAAATATCTATTTGTTTAATTCCCTTTGCCATTGATCTTTAGGGAATTGAGTGCATATTAATATGAAAGTCATGGAAGTTGCATGAAAATAATTGAATTGTCATTAGAATTATCGCATTATGACTCATTCTGATGAAGAAAGCATTGAGTAGTTTTCGAGTGAAGATATGTTTTGTTTAACTTACTGCGAATTGTTAAGCTAGTGAGATCCAGCTCCATATTCTGAAAGACAGATGACTCGGAGTAAGTTTCTTTAGCAATAATATCTTGTATGGTGTCCTCGACATTGCTGATGATACGGGGTATCTTCCTCCTATCCAGGTATAACCTGAAGAAAACCTTGAGCGTTCCATTCTCGAATCTGTCTATGACCGTGTGCTTGTAAGAGGGCCCAAGGACACTTCTTCTGAACAGCGACTCGAACTAAAAAAGATCAAGGCAAAAATCAATAGTTTTTTTTTAGTCTTTCTTCATGACTTGGCATCATCATGGAACTCGTTTCCCTGCGCCGAGGATTCACAGCATTAAGCCTTCATGAGAGAAATATTTATTTATTCCCCGTATAATCTACTCTATTTTTTTTTACAATGCGTTGGGTACAAATCAAATGAGATCTTGATACTCACAATGGTCTTGTACTTGCGTTCCTTTTCACGAAAGACACCACTCGTATTCAGCTTCAGCATGGGATTATACTTTTCGCCTCGAGCCACTCGGAGACTGCAGGAAAACACGAGCATCGCTGCAAGGATTCATTTTATTTTTTTTCAGAGAATCGAGAGAGTTGTTTCTACTCTGCAATAACACATTACCCCATGTACTCACCATTTTTTGGGTCCGATCGCATGCCTGAGGAATTTAATGAAGATGAATCAGTTTGACATAAGAATCACGTACATTTCTATTCAGAATTACAACGCGTAGGTTCTAAAGACTAGCGGTTGTGAATTTAATTAGATTCGTGGGGGTCAATGCAATTATTTCATTGAAGATTTATTATTCAATTGAACTTTAGGTTTCAAATAATGAAACAATTTTTTAATAAGAAATAAATGCGTACCACTCAGCCAGAGGGCAAGTCCTGCAACAGCCAGTACTGCAAAAAGAACAATAATTGCGGCGATTATTAGCAATGCACTATCCATTTTCCATCTTGCATTTCTGTGGCTCTTCTTGGATGAATGAGGTGGTACCCTTGACCAGGCCGACCTCGCCGGTAGATAATAATCATTCTGGAATTGACAAAAAAAAAAAAGAATTACCTTACGCGGAAATATTTCGGCGTTCCTTCACATTTCGCGGGGAATTCCAGTAAAACGGGAACGCGTGTATGCACCTGTAGAATTCGGTTAACGGAGTATGAAAACACCTGACCCATAAAAAATTTCACATTGCGTTTATTACACTGTCCAGACTGTTTACAGAAGAAGCAATTCGTTGGATAAAAAAAGTCGAGGTCTAACGGGATTTCACGAGGTATAGATTGTAAGTAGTAATTACCATCGAGGTAAATATAATGTTCATTTCATTACGAATTTTCTCACTTAATTTCCATTTCCACGAACTGCGGTTCAACACTCCTTTATCAGTTAACAGAGGAATCCATTGGTGCCTATGAACTGATAAAATCGTAAAATAAGATAAAAAAAATGATTGAGAAATTTTGAAGGGGATAAAAATTCACCCTAACGGTACCCAAGATTCAAGATTTAAACCAAGGTCAACAGCATATTTATCTGATATTTATTCCTGTAGCCGAAGAGGAAGATGGCGAAAGCTAGGCGGGAGTCGATGAAGTGTAACCAAGGAGATAAACCAATATCGATATTTTTGCCGATACAAAATCATTGGAGCTCTACGAGCTTATACAACCGAGCATTGTCGTAAAATAGACTTTTAAATTGGCGTCACTGGCCTAGCGGTATTTACGACAAAGCGAATTCGAAACGCACAACACATAAATGACGTATTCCGTTACAAAAACCCGTGATTGTGTCCAGACTGCGTTCCCCACAAAAAGTGTGATGTTTCATAAAATTCATCACGTGAATTACAGAAATATTTACGCTACATAAATCATCCTCGGGGAAGGAAATCACCAGATGCACAAATTGCTGCAGACAAGTTGTGACGGCGTCGAATCCAACGGCTGAAAGCCCAAAACACTAAACAATTCCTATAAATAAATTAGATATGCGACTTTAAATATTCTTGAGATATTGCAGGGGTCGACAATGGAAAAACATTAGGATGAATAATTACCGGGGCAATCATCCAGGGTTAAAAATAAAAGGAATTGTGGATACCACAAAAAAGGAGTGAACGCTCACCGGAAATGCCATTGGCAATCAGTTCACCGCGGAGACCTGATGGGACACCAACTGCCTCCAGCTGGGAGGCGTTGAAACCTACGGTGGTCTACCGTTAGGCCAATTTATCGGTTGTCGCATAACACCAAATTAACGCACACTTTACACACTCAGCACGTGCTGAATAGTCCCCAGATGTAATTAAACTCCAATTGCATAACTATTAAATTTACCAGTTATCGGCAACAAAAGGTGCTGATGAGTTTATCACACGACTTTGTGTTTTGTGTCTATCAACATGTGGTGAGCCTGATCAGATGATAATTGCCACTTGTTGTACAAAAATTATTCGTCTAAAATTTATGTCATACTGGGGAAAAGAGTGCCAGAAAAAAGACTAGATTACAATCGTTTCTCTTCCACTTTCTAGAAATTTGAAGCAGTACTTTGCTCTTCTCTCGGTTTTTCGAATTTGAAATTTTCCCTTGTGTGATTTCCAAGCAATCAATGACTTCTATTCAGTGAATGAGCAGTCATGATTTCCGATGGCAAAGCCCTGAATAAATTCACGCATGAGAACTGCCCGATCCCTTGAAAAACACGTTTTTCATGGTGTCCATATAATTTGCAAAAAGAAAAGATAAAAAAGGGGGAGAAAAATTGAACCCCCTCATGCATGAAGCCGGGTAAATGCCGGAGTCCATGTACCCTCTTCGCATAAGACCAAGTCAATGAAACACATTGAATGTACCTATTTCCACGTCACGCGCAGTCGCGCCCACATGCAGCATATGCAGCACATGCAGAACATACTGCACCAGGAGTCGGCGGGTGTTCAAAGGAGCGCAGTGTCAAGACCAAAATTCACCATTGAATAATGAACCGTAATGTTTGTCGCTGGCCCATTGACTTCATATTATCAATTTTGGGGGTTTAGCCCACAAGATAAATAGAGAAAGCAGCGAATAGATGAATAAATAGTCCCTTGTCCTCCGAGTTTTGCATCTCAATGCCCCATTTTTTGTGGCATTAGCATCATCCCGAGATGAATAGTCTGGAGATCATGGGATTCAGGTCATCTCCAGCTCATCCAAATATTTCACTGTATCTTAGCCGGAGAAAAATAAAAAAATTGACCAAAGAAGAGACCAATTGACTTAATATATACTCCGGCATACAAAAATAAATTCTTCAACTAATTGTACGCAGCACACCTGGTGTCTTGGAGAGATACATTTTTTGGTGGTAAAACGTCACGGTACATTTGACTAAAGATTTTTCTCCATCCGGACATTTGAACAAAAAATATTGTCATTTTCTTCTTCAGCACTTCGACACTCTGCGGTCATTAACGCGTCGATGGAATGTCTTCGGAAGAAGTGAAATGATGCGATGCAGAGGGGCCCGAAGAATACCTGATAATATCGAATAGATTCCTCGGATCCAATCGCAATTATCTTGTTCAGTTCTCATCTCTCTTCTTGGAAAAAATAAAATTAAACAAAGCCGGTGAGCGAGTGGAAAAAATAACAAGTAAAAGGGGCGAGGACTTGAGTTTTTTGTTGAATTCACAATCTGAAGGACGAATGGCGGAGATGAAAAGTGTTAACTATCGACTGCCATTTGCACAGTGAATTTCAATTGACACTCTTAGGATGACCATGAGGTACCTCCGGGGATTATCTGTACCCATTGTGAAAAATCTCTGATGCATCATATTTATTAATCCGGGTTAACCAAGTCATGATTAAATTAGTCATGCGTTGTCTTCATTTATAACTCGCGATTGAATTGCCGCGAAAAATAGCGGCAAAAATTTCTCACCGTCAAGTGGCGGGAATTTAAAAAATATCCAGACGCTCCACCTTCGAAGGATGAAACATATTCATGTATTCAAATGATTATATCATAATTTCAGGGCCAATAAACCATCGGGCATTGCTTCATAAAGTGCTCCACGAGGTGGCAACGTGCCGAAGAATTTCAACGAAAACAAGTATGAAAAATATTTTTAATGCAAAGTGTCCCATGTACATATAGAAAATAACCACTTAACTCGTTATACCGAGCATGTCCAACTACGTGGCTTCACAGAGCATGGTAACAGCTATGTACCACGCGTCTTACATGGCTGAAACGTCATTAAGTGGTATATGAAGGTAGATTAAAAAATTGAAGAAATTGTTTATAATAATGAAGACAACGGAAGTGACACCGCCCACCAGACGCATCACGGGGCCATGTAATAACAATTATAAATCTCACTCTCGTCGTGTCTGAACTTGAATTCACTCGGCTATTTCACTCGCCGAGTTTTACAGCAAAAAACCAGGAGTCACTTTAATTATCCCCCCTTGGTGCCCAGGGGGGCTTTTTACTTATCCCTTCTACTGTATCGCATGGATCTTTGTTTCTAACTCAGCCATCACGTCACCATTTTTTTACTATAGAATTTCCTAGTTTTGTTGGGATCTCTCCTTTCAGAGGAATTAATTGAGTTAAATCCCCTGAATGAGTTGTCCAGTCACACCAGTCGTTCCAATCAATTTTCTAGAATTATCTCGTTACTTCTCCATCGTACAACCAGAAAATGCTCGTGATAAGAGGCAGCAAGAAAACATATTTGCGATTGATACGATGATTGGGCGATTTTGCAAATTGTAAAGAGAAAATAATTTTTTAGGAAAGGTAGTGGAATTTTAATTTGGGATTTTGCTTCTTGTAATTTCAACAGAAACTTTCCATTTCGTTTGGCTTCAGTTCATGAGAGGAAGATTCTACTCAGTAAATAATTACGGGATACCATAACTTTAGAGTGAAGTTGATTCCATGTGGTTAAAGCGTTGATTTAAATTACGTGAAGCTTCCCGTGGAATTAATTCGTGTCGAAAATTAGGGGTTTCAAACGAGATGAAGGCATTCAAATCTCCAATATTTCATATGCATATTGTTCGAAACTTACTTGCGTGATTCACCCCACGCAACTCATTTCCAGTTTTTGCTCGATTCACTCCTCTTAACTGCAGTGATTTTATTAAGAAGTGATGCCATTATTTCAAAAGTTAATAAGCCCTCGAATGAAGTTGCATGAAGCCAATTGGAAGAGACTCATTAATTAGGAGAGTCCTTTGTAAAAATTAAAAATCAATTACCAAATGTGATTGATCCATGTTGGATGATGTTGATGAACCATCACTTGGATCCATGTATAATAATAAAAATAATGGAATAACAATTTTCGTGATGCAGGATAAAGTGTGATAGAAGAATGGAGAAAATAGAAAATAAAAAATTGACGGAGGTATCTGGGGAATGGAGACCTGGAGGCGTATTGTGAGGTGAAGTGAAGATATCGAATACCAAAGGATTGAGGATTGAGGGTAAATGGGTGAGTACCGAAGGCGTGGATCATGACCCAGGGTATAGTATTTGAACGTCCTTCAGGTTGTTGGAAGATGCGTCCTCTCTCGAGTGCAAAGATCTCTCAAGGACGCACTCGGTGCACTTGTCCTTGTCTCGTTAATGAGACCCTAGAATCCATGCCGAAGACGCACATATGTATAATGCTTACTTTATGTATACGCCTATATATACGATTCATCAGATCAGTTAATGTAACAGTCGTAGAGTTTTTCTCACCGGCCACCTGCACGTAATATCTCTCCGCATTAACTCCCCTCTTGTGCACTATTTCACACAAAATAAGTGTGCGAATATAAATGCGGTAGGAGTGAATCATAAAATTACAATTATGAGGATAAATGGTGGATGCTTGCGGTGGGGATTTAAACTGCATTTGTCGGTTTGGATTTTATGAGATTTTGATGGATTGGGAGAATAATTAGCACTAATTTTGCCATTTTTATTGGGGGCTTATCGTGTTTATGATCTTGGTTTCCGTTTTCACAGAGATTTTCCGGTGG